CTCACTGTCCATTTGTCGGCTGTCCAGTGTGAACATGTCCCCTATCCACCTCTCAATGTACCGGTTGGTCTCTCCAGGGTCCAGTTCCTTTCCCGTTGCATCGTCTTTGATTACAGCATCCTCCCTGGGTCGACCTGTTTGGCCCTGTACATGTCGCCAGAACTTCAGTGGGGCCTCACGTCCTGCCTCTCTCAGTTCTTGCAAAAATCTCTTATCTACCTTGGCCATTTTGCTTTGAATCAAAGCTGTCACCTCTATTTTCCTGCTCTGGTACTCCCTCCATTCTCTTGAATCTTTCTGTAGGGGGGCTTTCTTCTCCTCCTTTCGTTTTCTGATGGTCCCTCGCAGAGTCCTGTTTGCCAGTTGCCTTCTTGTCATAGCCTCCTTCACCTCCACATCCCACCATCGTTTTCTCCTCCTCTTCCCTTGTGTCAGTCGTTTCAGTTTTTCCAGGTGGTCCTTCCACCACCGCACGAGGTTCCCGTACGTCTCCATCTGCCTGGTTTCCACCTCTTCCTCCAGTTTCAGCGCAATGGTTTGTGCTTCTGCTTGCGTTATGTGGTGTGGTCTCATAGGTTCGCTGACTCTCTTTTCCGTCGGCTTTCCTCCGAAAGTGATCAGCAATCTGTTGTGATCACTTCCCAAGCTCTTGTCGCCTTCCTCGTCTATCTCCATGTAGTTCAGTTTTTCATACAGGTCCGGGGACACCAGGCAATAATCGATTGTAGAGCTCATCCCTCTGGCCGTCCATGTCGTCTTTCCTATGCATTTATCTTGTGTGTTGACGATTACCATATCCAGGTGTTCCGCCATGTCCTGCAGCAGCTTTCCATTTCCGTCTGTTCTCCCATCAAACTCCTCTAGGTGTGCGTTGAAATCGCCTACCATAATGGTAGGTCTCCCAATGTCGTGATAGTCTTTTTCAATGCACTTGATTAGCTTGATGTTTGTCTCCCTGCTGTCAGCCCCCGTCCACAGGTACACCACTGCCACTGCCACCTTTCTCCCCGCCAGTGTCCCCGTCAACCACATGTGCTCTCTGCACTCTGGACTTTCTCTCTGCCAGCCTGGCCCGCTAAAGCATCCTACCCCCCCTCCCCTTCTCTCACTGTCCTTTCTGTTTGCCCCATCCCAAAAAAGCCCCTCGCAATCTGGGGGTCTTTCTTCATCCCTGAGGTGGGTTTCTGTGACTGCGAACATTCCAATCTTATCATCTTGTAACATCTGAAAGGCCTCTTCCCATTTTCCTGCTTTCCTTCCTCCTTGTAGGTTTAAAAAGGCAATCTTCACTTCCCTCTTTTTCTTTTTTGCTCGTCTGTTTTTCCTTCTTTCCCGGTCTGGTGCCTTTTTGTGTTTTCCGCCTCTCGTGTTATCATCCCTCCTACTTTCTCTTCTTAGTGGGCATGTCCCTGTGAGGGACACATCCTCTGGAGTTGTTCCTCGAGTCGCTGTAGTCTCTGGTTCAGAGTCAGCCTGCCTTCCATTCTTTCCTGTCTCCTTTTCATCGGTGTCACGCTTTTCCCCTTGCATTTCAGTCCTAAAAAACTCTTTAGTCTGTTACCCAGTGCTTGTCCCTCTTCAATTGCCGCATCTCTGTTGTAGCAGCCATCTTCCATGTCGTTTCCCGTTCCTGTGTTCTTTACCATTTCCACCCTCGGTCCCAGCTGCTGGCTGATCTCTCTTGATAGCCTGTTCCACTTGGCGCACCTCTCTTTAAGTGGGTCCCCCTTGTCTTTGATTTCTGGGACTTCATACACCATAAAAGAATGTTTCGGGGCTCTCGTGGTCCAGTCCTCAAGCCGTTTCCCTAGCTCCGCTGCCATTTCTTCCACCGATTCTTCGCCTTGCACGTCTGTCACTCCCGCATGTATGACCACCACTCCTGCCTCTGCATTCCATATTTTCCCATCCCTCTCTGCTCTCTCGAGTGACTCTCTCAGTTGTGCTCCCGGCTTAGTTGCAAAGTGAACTTTCTTGTCGTAATCTACCACCTTCAGTGTGGCTCTCTTTATCTTGAAGGCATTGGTGTCCCCTACCACTAAGACTCTCTTGTCCACCTTCTTCTCCTTGTCCTGTTCCTTTGTCCCGTCATCTGGGTCTGCTCTCTGCCTCATGAGGGCCTCCTTGTAGTTCCTGTGCTGGCTTCTTTGTGTTTGGCCTCCAGTCGTCTGTCTCCCCTGCTCCTTATCCAGATCTCCACTTCCCGTCCGTTCTTGGGAAAAGCTAACTGTCTCTTTCCCGTCTGTGTGGTATGTCTTCTTTTCTTTAACCCCGTTTCTTGGTTCCAGCTGTTGCGGCGCGTTTTCAGCCCCGTTGACCGTCATTTGCTCTGGTTCACATGACTTCATCCAGTCATTAAACACCTCCCCTAATTTTTCTCTCTTGTTCCTTTCCTCCTGCATTATTGCTTTCAGTTTCTCTTCCGTCGCTATTCTCAAGGTTCTCTCTTCTTCGAGCTTCGCCAACATCCTACTTTCTATGGCCGCTCTCTCTGTCTTTGCCTCCTCCAGCTTCACTCTCATTGCCTCTCTCAAGGCATTAACTTGCCGTTCGATCTCCTCCTCCAAGGTGATTCTTCTCACCTCATTTTCCTTGCACTCCTTACATTTGTATGTACTGTTCTCCGCCTCCGTGCATGATTCGAACGGTGTCTCGCTGATATCCACCCATTTCTCACATCCTTCGCACTCCACTGACGCCTTGTCTCGCTTTCCCCTCTTCTTTGCCTTTTCCATTTGACTGGTTGTCATTGTTTTCCTCCGTGGAGTCATGATGTTAGGTGTCTCCCTTGCCTGGTTTCCGAGACGCCCCAGCCACCACCGCCAGGTTCCGTCGTTTAGCCGTGCCCCGACACGCCGTGTCGAAAAAACACTTGCGCCCTACGCCCGGTTGCCAGCCCGAGGCCAATGTTGCCAGATGGAATCGAAGTTTCGGTTTCGACTTATGTTTAAAGTAAGATTTAACAATATATATCCCACTTTTCGTGAAGCAAATGACATAGCACCTTTTATTAGTGGTTTCTAATGTGGAATCACTCATTATCCCGAAATTTTTGGAATTGAGCGGAATTGCCTTTTAAAGGAAGGGTGACAATTGCGTAAGCATGCCTTCCACCTGTCTGTTAGATGAAGAAACAACTTTCTTGAAGGGTATTATTAAATATGTCGAGTGGTTATCGATGTATCTAGGCAGTGAGTGTATATACAAGTGTTTGGATGGCCTTGCAATAAAAGAGTTGAAAGTGAGCGCCTGTCCATGCCATTCACGCTTTCTATTCGTCCTCGCCTCTTTTGCGCTTTTTAACATTTTACCTGATAGACTTGCTCGCAAAGTGCTCAGTGGGACTGGGGGCGATGGTGGGATACTTCTACAAGTGGGACTGCATGCAAAACACAAAACGTGTACTGAAAACGTGGTGGCGACAGTAAAACGCTTGTGCGTGAAATGGATGGGGAGCGAGAAGTGAATGCTGGATTGCAAATCTTAGGCAAGGAAAGATGCGGAAAAATATGCTTGGAGTTCACCCTGTAAAAAGAACACAAGTTCGTCTCCTTTTTCAAGGGTTGTGGTGACGTCAGAACGCTGACCTCTGATTGGCTCTGAATAAAGGATGGTGGGTAGACATCGAAGCAAGCTGCCTTGAGGTCTACCCACTATCCTTCACTCAGAGCTCGGCGTTCTGACGTCACCACAACCCCTGCAACAGAAGCAGTCGAACTTTCGCTCCGCATTAACCCAGTCCAGACTAAAATAGAGCCAGCACAGTGGTTTTACGAATGAGTAAAGCTATACGCACTCCGGAGTGCGCTTCGCGCGGAAATGGCTATACGCACTCCTCCGAGAGATCATGCCGCTCGGGCCACCCTTTTCGAACGGCGCGTGAATCACTGGGGCGCTCGTTAACACAGCCCCCCGCCTGCGTTCACGCCGCTTCGCGGCGACAGTATCGGCTGCTAATTACTAAGCGTAACCAGTACACGCCGCTTCGCGGCGTCCAGCCGGCAATCCAAGCCCCGCTGTCCCCGATCGCACCTCCGGAAAGGGAGTCCGATACCATTTAGTTCTGCAAAGTTTCTCGACAACAATCGATTTTTTTTTTTTACTGTTCATTGCAAAAAAGGAAATGTCGTAAATATCGCCAAATGCCTCAACAAAACAAAATGTTTGAGAAAAAGAAAAAAAAAAGTAGGCCCATCGCGGATCGAACCCGCGTCCACTGGCGTATGAAGCGGGCACCCTAACCACTACGCCATGGCACCGCTTAGGAAACTCGTTGTGTCCACTATTTTTATACGAGAAAAGCGGAGTGCGTATAGCCATTTCCGTCCGAAGCGCACTCCGGAGTGCGTATAGCTTTACTCTTTACGAATTTAGTTTTACGACCACTTTCAAGTGGCATGGTCTGATTGACAGGTCTACGCAACAATTCACTCTTCCATACAGCCTACAGCTGCGTTGCAACATAGGCGTCGCACTCGACTCGTACGAGGTTAACTAGCACAAATGTTTTTAAGACAGCCCCTCTATTATGCTGACAATTAAACTAAAAACAGATATCCCATGTTTACTACAATAGAGGCCTTGCCAAACTTGGATGCTAATTGTATTTACACTGCGTTACGCAAGTCAGTGAAAGCGCCATATTTTTTTATACCATTATATTAATCTTGAAATGAGAGTGATAAAAAAACCATACCTAAAGGACGCAAAAAACGTCGTCAGATGAACGAACTCCTAAAGCACGCTGCGCGGACGACGCAAAACCCCCAGGCCACAAACACTGCCGACACCCTAGAATCCACCATGCAACCCCTCGACTTAGTCTCGCAGAAAAACCAAACAAAAAGGTTTCATTCGCTTTCATTTATTTAATTTAAAACATATAATATTATTTAGTGTCAATTATCGATTTGTGATAAAAGTTATAATACGTTTTCATCATAGGTTAGACGTGCTGCGAACCTGCTACCATCTGCTTAAATCTCATTGGCCAACTCAAATGTCCCGCGTTGTTTCAAACTTGAGGGAAGCAAGCGGCGGTTTCACGCAGTTTCTCGCTGTTGTGATGGCATCAGCGTAGCCTTATTTCTTCTGCCATTTCAAGTTTTTCATTTGCAGCACTGGAGGACTACTTCCACGGAAAGGTGATCGTATTCTCATTACAGTTTTTAACGCATCTGTTATCAAGAGTAGAAAGATTTTTCCTTAGTTGTTGATAAGACTTACGTTGGATCGGTGACGTGATAACACCGGCATGACGTTTTCGCGGGAACGTTTTTCGCGTAAACTTTCCTTCCCACCGATTCCCGCAAGATCGTTTTGCTAATGCATCGTTTGGTAAGCTGTTTGAAACGAGCTGATCTCATATGAAGGGCTCAACTGAACCTACGGAGATTGCATTCGCAGAATTTAAATGCTCTGGGCTCTCAATTTCCTGCATAGTGCGACGGTTGCAAAATGCAACCGCGACGGTTACAAGATGGAACCATAGAACGTTGTCGCGAGCGAGCGTTCTCTAAAACGCGATTCCTGGTTGATTGATTGATTGACTGGCTGTAAGCCACTGTATTATATTCGAAACGTTTATTGTGCATTCAGTAGCGATTATGTTTCAAATAGCGACAGACTCCGTCCTTTGCGATTTGTCAGAGCGCTCCTACGAACTTTCGTCATGATGGACGTTCTTTGATTTTCGTCCGCGGTTCGATTTTTGGGCGGTAAATAGGGCTCGAACAGAGAACGCTCTCGCGCTAGAAGCTCGTTCGATACTGTGGGGCAAGTTACATTCAGTAACAGAGTCGCGTTTGACGTCTCAGGTACTCTTCGAGTAGCTGCGCTTTTCGTATGTGTGCACCCCGATTACCCCGATTGGTGCTCATCGGAAAATAACCCCGGCAATGCCAAAGCGATGTTAAATGTTTGAATTTTTCAACATGGAGCACCTATGCTGCCGGCAAGTTCATGATGTCGAGTTAGCTACTCGGCTAGCGAGTCGTGCCATAACAGTAAGCCCATTCTTTACCAAGTGCTGCAGAAACAACGCAAGTTTAACCGCCGGGCTCGAGTGTTGAGCATTGACCCTACAGTGCTCTAGCTTTCAAGAAATGTCTGTGATAAGTGTCAATTCTATGTATTAGGTGCACAACCTAAGACATGCACTAAAAGCTTGGATTTCCTCTGCTGGCATGCTAAAAGCCCATGTTACCTGCACTGAATAACTCTATTCGCTTAACTGTGTCGAATGTTGCATCAAAGCAGTGGCACTGTCTGCAGGGTGGGTCATGTACAAATGTTCCATTCATTTAAGAGAATGTTTCTGATCGTGTGCATTGCCCAAACCTGTTACAAGCAAACATACCCGTAAACAGCGACCTGATGTGCAGCACGAAAACGTAAGCCACAGTCACACCGCTAATACATTGTACGAAAAGAAGTTTGTAGACAGTGCCCGAGCCGTGCTTCTTACGACAGTGATGCCACACTGGTTGTATGAAAGCTTTCTGCATACATGTGGACCGCAAGTTTGTCTGCTTCGTTTAGATGGGCTGTGTTGACATTAGAACACAGAGCTCTGATTGAAGGATAGTGGGAAGACCTCGAGGCAGCTTGCTTTGAGGTCGACCCACTCTCCTTCAATTAGAGCTTGGCGTTCTGACGTCAACACAGCCCCTGCTAAAGAAGCTGACGAACTTGTGCTCCGCAAAATGCAAACATGCCGCAGATCTTTTTGTCTCTACGTCTGCGGCGAGCACCACGTCTTTTGCGTACGACGTACAAGCTGTGCGGCCACAACTTTAGGGTCCAATGTCGCCAGTCCGACAGAGCTTGGGTGAATGAAACCGGGGCTTGACTCTCATGCGTCCGGCTTGTCTTGCGCAGATGGTGAGCCCAACGCCACATGCCAGGTTCTTGGACGGCTTGCACGCCGGTGCCATGTCTTTGTCCCACACGTCCACCCCCGAGAGCGGCTACTTCGCTTTCAGGGGCCAGACAGCCGACTACAGCCGCATCGGCCCCCCTTTCTACCTCTGCTCCGACGAAGATTCCGGCATTGTGTCCCAAGACGACTCTCTTGTCGTGCCTCAGTGAGTGCGTCCGCCGTTTCTCGCAGGCTTGTGAACAGGAGCTTGCATTATGTTAGGACGGCTAAGTGTTCCCTACTGTAATACTGCTTCGTATGCGGAGAGCAAGTCGTCTGCTTCTTGCGCAGGAGTTGCAGTAACACCAGATGGACACCGAGCTCTTATTGGCTGTGATTGAAAGAATAGTGGGTAGAGCTCAATGCTAGATTCTTTGAGGTCTACCCACTATTCTTTTCAATCGCCCAGTAAGAGCTCAACGTTCTGACATCATCGCCAACCCCTGTGCAAGAAGACAAACTTGCACTCTGCATATTCAGAGGTTCTGAGGTTATACAACAAAACCAAAGTGATTGATTGGTACTTTTAATGTTGGTAGGGCTTTCTGGTTTGCCTCATATCACTGGACGACTACTGTCATACCAATTTACGTAATGATATCTAGGGAAGTAAAACCAGAAACTGCTGAGCCCAAGTACTGCCTTTGTGCAATACACTGTATGCGTGCCTGGAAAAGTGACAAACATACGATCACGGGTTGCACGAGCCAAGGCCTCACGTCTACATGCTTTTAGTAAGTTTCTACCTTCATATCTTGGGAACAAAACTTTACAATGTGAAGCGCAAGTTCATCTGCTTCTTGCACAGGGGTTGCACTGACGTCAGAATGTCTAGCTCTGATGAAAGGATCCCATGTAGACCTCAAGGTCTACCCACTAACCTTCCAATCAGAACTCAGCGTCCTGACGTCAGCACGACCCCCGCTCAAGAAGCAGATAAGCTTGTGCTCTGGATAGTCTTTAGGCCTACGCACATTTTCCTAACTTTAAAACCGTCGAGGTGCGGGGTTAAAACCCACTGCCTCACGCATCGAAATTCTCTTGGCTTCGTTTTTTAGACCAGTAGTCCAACTGGTCTAAATAAACAGAACCGACGGAATTCGAATGTGCAAAGCAGTGGGTCATAACCTCGCACCTCGACGGTCTTAAAGGTAGAAACACGTGCGCAGTCCTAAACACTACCGTAAATGTAAACCTCCGCTAACCCTTGCTGTCTACTTTCATGTGCCCAGTTCTTCAAGCGCTGCCGGCACCCCGGGGTCGTCGTCCTGGCGGAGGAGGGTAGGAAAATCGCACGTCGACTTCCTATCACTCCTGCAGTCGTTCGAGCCAGGCCTCTCCCGGAAGCTGCTGTCTTTCTTGTCGGACCACGACCTGGCAGTGGTGTGCTGCACAAGTCGGGAATGGAGGCAAATCTGCCAATCCGTGCCCGAGGCAAAACGGCGCTGGCAGCAATATGTCCAGCTCAAGAGGGATGCCTGGGAATCTTCCAGGGTACGAAATTCAGTCTGCTACGGTGCGTCGATGGATGAGCGGGTGTCGTAAAGTTCCAAACAAGTGCCTAGGAGTGCTCCGAGGTAGAGGTTCATTTCGTTTCCAAGCGGTGGAATACGCAGAGACGTCGCACACCCCGCGGAAGTCTTCCGTCGCCCAATCTGCCAGTCGCGTAGTTGGAGAAAATGAGATGGGGTTCCAGGATGGGTAGATTAAGGGGAATCGTTTGGCTATGCATCCGACTGGACTAAGAGATCTTCATTTTACCAGAATGACGGCATAACTACGAACATACACTACCCAACAAAGACTGCTACAAATTTGTTTGTGGGATTTCTTACTTACTGATTCACAATGTCGACCCACTGCATTCAGATTGGGAAGCATAAAAGCGACACAAATTCAGAAAACTGGCGACACACCCGCAATAACCGCATGACGTTTTCATCCAGAACTAGTTCTAGATTTACACACTCAAAAACTCATTAAATGCCACCCTTGAGTCGACAGTTAGAAATTTTTCTTTTAACGAACAGCGATCAATTAGATCATACTACCTAGGCACAATGTTGATTGTGATAATGTTTCATTTCTAGACCAACTCTTAACATTTGTATAACTTGCTAAATGTTTGCACTATCACTGTTGCTGCTTTGCTGGAACTGGCATTTTTATTTTCTGTTTTGTACATACAGCATCCTTCTGAAATTTAATATTCCCAACATGCTAGTATAGACAAATGTTTGTTAAGTATTTGCGTTCAAGACCCTGATTAAGTGTGACCACACTCTTATTAAAGTGCTTTTGTGTGCCACTCACATTACGTTCCTTGTAAGAAATAATAGTATTGTTAAATTAATCAATTTTTAAAAAGTCCCTGCAGAAAAGAGCAAGGGTTTTCTTTCTGTCCATTCGTCGGCCTTAAAGTCAAGGAACGGCTTGCAGGGTTAGGGCAGTATCAGTGACCATGTCACCTATGCTTGTAGTGGGCATCTGCATGCCAATAGACCAATCTCACCGAGCGTTTGGTGCACAATGCAACTCTGGTCCATGGGAGGCAGCCAGCAGTGCACGAAAAGGCTTGTGCCGTCTTGTGCTCCGAGCGCGCAGAGCTACAGCAAAGTAGGCATATACTAAAAGAGCAGAAAAAAAAACACAGGGACAAATAGAGGGACACAGACGCAATGCTGACTCAACTTGTCCTAGCTCTGTTGTTTTTTTTGCGCTGTTTTATTTATATGTTCACTATGCACCACTGACTAGCCCACCTTCGAACATTACTGCAGCTAGAGCAAGGTTGTCACGCATTTAGAAAGGCTAAAGTTCCCTGGATGCATTGTGCCAGCAGTGGCGTAGCCAACCTGGCCGGTGAGATCTCTCTATTGCTTATCCGGGTTTCGCTACCACGGTGTTCCGCTACAAGCCTCCCCAAGATCCGGCAGCAACACTTGTCACGAAATTAGCTCTATTCAACTACCCTCTGAGCATTCCGACCAATGTGTTGCGAAATGTTTATACAGGGACAGCATTTCTAAGACCTCCCTTCGTAACTTTCAGGAGAACCTGCCAAGCAAGAAGCCGCTGCAGCACCGGAGCGAAGAGGTCCCCCACCCGCTGGCAGTGAGGAACTCCAATTCGGGCAACGGCGACTCGGACAAAGTGCCGACAGGCGCACCGGCCTACGAGTCCAGGTTCCAGCTTTACTTCGAGGTAAGCGCCACAGTTTGGGAATGGCTGCCGCATCGGACCATGGCCGGGCTAGCCGGCGGCTTTCCTCTGGATTTCTTTTGGCCACAGGGAGCATGGCCGTGTTACCCTTGTTAATATTCCTTCCTGAGTCACCTTAAATAACTGTTCCGACCACCGGGATTGAAAATGTGTGCCAAAATGCACTCTGAAATAATTGTAGAGAGCGAATTGAAGATTCCTTTCACTCAGTGTAGATAAACGCTCGTTTATAGACCAACATGCGGCTTTGACATTCCACCGCTCTCTTGGGGCTGCCCGTGCAGATCTGGTGCCGCATGCCCTCACCAGGTGTGTGCATAGGATTGTTTGTAAAGCATGTGCTGGCTGACCATCCGTCCAGAAGACAAGGTTCTGCATAAGTTTGCAGGCAGGTGGCCTGCAAACAAAAAGGACGACTCATGGGCCTAATAGTCTGGAGATGCCTTCAACTTGATCCCGGAGCAGAGAGGCCAACACTGGCGAGGTGCCTAGCCAGAAGGAGTTAAAGCGCCGGAGGCAGAGTAGGGTCGCAGTGACCCCATTAGGCTGCAACAACAGGGAGAAACTACCACCCGCGCGAATGCCGTAATGGACCATGCTCCTTCATCGAAAGATGTCCAGGCAGTCGAGATCCTCAGTAGGGGCGTGCCTGATGCCCCTGTTAGTCTGGCACACGAAACCCCCAGGTCTCACTTTTTGTTGGACATGGACTGAACACACCTTGCGTGTCTTTCCAGGAGGGCAAGCGTCTCGAAGAGGGCGAATGGCAACTGCCGTGCCCCAAGTGTAGGTACCCAAGCCGCGTCTCCAGCGGCGCCGCGTGTGCCATTTGCAAGTCGCCAAACTGCCACTACCGTTTCTGCAAGCACTGCAAGAGTCCGGCGCACGAGTCTGGCCAGCGATGTCCCCAGCTTTCCGTCGCCGGAAGCGGTGCTCGTGGCAAGGAACCGGTCATTGGCGGGAAACAGTCGAAACACAGACTACGCCGGTTGTTGCCGGCATAGTACCGCGGACTTGCCTCGCCTGTACAGCATTTTGGGATGTAAAGAGACATGTGTGCGCAACCCTTTCTTTTAAAGTGACCCGTACAAATGTGTGCATGGTATTTTAACCTGTGAATGCATGCGTGAATGCGCGAGCGAGTGATGACGTGTACATAAGTATGTTAGTTTTAATGCCTTCAGACTCCGTTTGGGAGAGTGTACAGAGGTATGGGTGTGCTTTTATTCTGTGTGTGTGTGTGCATGTGAGAAAGTATGGGGTGTGTTTCAATGTTCAATGCCTGCAGACTCCACACGGTTACTATGTACAAATATGCGAGTGCTTTTATTCTGTAGGCATGTGTGCTGTGAGGGAGTATGAGGTGTACATATGTGTCTACAAGCATTTTTCTTTTTTAAGAATGGACATTTTCTGCATTTGAAGGTCGGTTTTATCTTATACAGCTGGGCTTACTCTGGTCCGGAAAGACTGACAGAAGGCAAACAGTACATGACCTGTGGCTCTAAGTTGGACAACTTGGCGTGAAATTTGGTCGTTGCCGACTGCTGCGATTGATCAGTGCTGCGTTGCGGTTGGCCAATCATGGCCAATTGCAGCACACCCAGGTCGAGCACAACGCTGAACAATCATGGCCGTCGGCAATCTCGTCACCTTTCTCACCAAACGTCCAACTTTGAGCCCCATGTCATAACCCAGGGTTATGCTCTTCTACAAAAAAAAAATTAAAAAAAAATATTTTGATTGACTTTCATATTTGAAGACAAATACAAAGTATGCCTTTTTGGTCGTGCAAAGCTCGAAACGGGTTGGGGATCTACCTCAGTATAGCCAACAACTAGACCTCGACATCTGGTGCTTGGTGTGCCTTGTGTAAACCACTTGGTGCCTTTACACCCTGTATAGGATTGTCATTGCAAACCAAACGTGCCATTAAAACTGTGAATACTCTGTCTTGTGGTTTTGGAGCTTTCCTTTCAACAAGAGATGTGTCGTACGGCTGGCTTCTAGCAGTTTCCGGTTTCCCGCTCCCGTAACGAAAGAATTGCGTCAGAGTTTGGCTAGAACTCGTGTCCAACCTGCTGCCCCATGCAGGCCTCCAGTGGTGAGGTAGAAAATCCAGCACTATGACCTTGTTGAGGCCCATTCATGCAGCGACGTTTGCCCAAGTCATGCTCCAACACAACCTCAAGGCATTGTGCCAGGCTACTCTTGCCAAGCTTTATGCGAAGCACGCATGTTCCGGTGACTTGCAGTTGTAACTCCACACAAGTACCCATAATGCAGTGAATGGGCCTCTATCTGGAACGTGTTGACTGAGCACACTCGCTCATGTGATGGGGGTGTGTGTATGTTTATACAGCCTTGAACTTAGTCTGCCTCAACAACCGCTAGCCTGGGGTCTTTAACGTGCATCACGCAGTAGTGATACACGACTGCATGCCGGTAGAATGCTCATCCTGATGAAAACGGGCAGGGGTGGGGACTGAATGCTCAAGTAATGGGGGACTGCAGGAGGCACTGGAAAAAAACAGCATGTGCTACGGAGGAAAGAGGCAATGGCAGAGTCGCAGCTAAGGCGTATACCCGCCAGAGACTTGAAGTTTGCTTTCCACTTCTACTGGAGCACATGATTTGGCAGGGCTTTCTAGATGCTATGCATGACAATGTTTGTGATGTCGAGACATGAAAAGTGTATCGAGTTCTTCGATACAGTATCCCTGCAGAGCGATGTTCAATACATTCTGTGCTACCATTGCCTTTGCCACCGTAGTGCAAATAAGGGGAAAATTTTTTCTTTTTGGAATTGGTCATGGGCTTTCTGTGTAGAGCACCCCTGAGTGACCTATAAAGATGGCCACAACTGACTGCAGGCAGCCTCGTGGTAGTATGCAAAGATTTTCCAACGTCTTATGTGCTGCTAATCTCTGTCAGTGGTGCGTCATGTGCAGCTAACATAGAGGGGTTCTGGTGAAGAAATGCCACTCCCAACAGCTGCTAGTACGATTCGGATTCACCAGGCACGCAAGTCTGGAGAAAAGCATCTCTCCCGCTCAATGCAGGAGATCGGGTGGGAAAAGTGGGGGTGTGGGAGGGAATTTATTAGGCAGCAAGTATTTTGACGTATGTGACGCCACTTCCGGAAGATGGGGAATTTTCTTCAAAAACATTCTGACGTCCCCCGTCAAAATATTTTTCTAATTATTTTGACATCTCAAACTTAGAACTTTAGAGCTTCGGAGTCCGGACTGAGGAGCGATCGAAGGTGGCGGTCAAAAAGTATTATCTTGCCTGCAGGTAGCATAGCAGTTCGACACATTTTTTTTAGAAAATATGTTGTGTAGTCAACTGCTGTTTTTATTACCTTTTTGTGGAATGCAAAAATACCTAAAAGTAAACAAAAGGTTAGGGTGCAAACGAGCTGGTGGTGCTTAAACATTTGACTAAAACCCCGAGACTGGGACGAGAAGGGACAATCAAACACAGTCTCAAATGCAGCTGTGTTTCAGACTTTGTGTTTGTCCGTCCCTTCTCATCCCACTCTCTGGGTTTTTAATCAAATGTTTAACCCAAAAGTACATCAGCTATCAGGCCGAAAGTAACGTCTGCTTGGTTGCGCCAGACATTACAGAATGCGGCATCGCTACTTTTAATGACGTATTTCACGTGATTTATATAGGCAAAGGAGCTGAATGCCTCGCGTTATAATAGTAATAATTTTCTTTTAGAGGGCATTGAAACCTGCCCTCGCATTATATTTGTGCAAATACAGTATGCTGGCACAAGTATGCAACAGTTTGATGTTCAGAAGATCCGCAACAGCTCAGTTCTTGGTGTGCAGACAACTAAAGGATGTTTTTGTGCAGCAAAAATGATTGGCAACAATATGTGAAGCACTGCCACCTTCCTTTTTCAACAGCTATAGCTTGTGTCACTTTATCTGCGAGTGAAGCTACACACATTGCCCCGAACGATGCTTGAACTGCACGAGTGTGCATTTTTGACAAAGATGCCGAAAATCCGGAACTTGCAGGTAAAGTGAAACAGTATAGCAAAAACTTCATAGAAACTTCTTACTAATCGATTACACTGCAACTTTCTATGCACGGCATAATGCCGAAAAAGCTAAATATATACTTCGCGACTGCCACCACGTGAATAACCAGAAAGAACATAAAATTGGTTTTATTGCAAGATCAGCTTGGGTTAGGAGGGCAGGTATGATGATCATGCTGATGAGAATGGTCTCGCGATTCAAGTCTACAAAGCAGAGTGTTGTCTCTGCAGCAGCAGTCCCACCTTGCACTCCTAGGGCTAGAAGAGAGATGTTACAGACGCTCTCTTTGCTGCGCGCCTGAGCGAGCGAGAGTAGCTCAGAATCGCAGATGCGGGTGGGGCAGTACTGTCAGCTTTGACATGATGCTATGGTGATACAGTAGACTCACCAATTCAAACTCCAGGAAGCTATGAATTTTGTTTGAATTATCAAGAATTCATCTAAATATAGTGTAAGATAAAATTAATTTGCCATATGAATGGCTACACATACAATGCAGATATTCAATGATTTCTTCTACATAGGCCCACTGACCATAAGCAGGCATGCCACACATGAAACATTTGTGAAATGTATGGCACAAGTTTATTATCCCTCAACAATGTTGTTTATCGTGAACTGTGCAGCAGCACATGACAACTCAAAACAAAATTAAGTTTGTTCATCGGGCAAAGAAATTGTCTAATGTGGACTATTAAGCAGGAGACATATGAGCGAGAGAAACAGGCACTGCGCGGCAGTTTTCATAGCAACTGGCACGGACACTGTGGCATAGACCTATGCCATGCCGCCACGTCACAGTGTCCGCGCAAGTTGCTATGGAAATTTACGCTCAACGGGGCTTGAGCCCCGTTGAGAGCACCTCTCCCCGATTCCCGGTGCACTGCCGAGAAGCAACACCCGCGGAAGCAAGCTCTGCAGGTGTTGCTTCTTTGCAGTACACCGGTGCTCAGAAAGAAGCGCACTCAACGGGGCCGCAGGAAAAAAAAGTAAAAATTCCACGAAAACGCCATTCGAATTAAGCGGCTTATAGATATACCAAAAACACAGCGGGACAACCAAATTTTTGAAATCTGTTTGAATTAACCAGAAGTATGAAATATGCGAGGTTAAATTATCGCAAGCCTACCGTAGTGACACTGAAGCATGGGACCGCCTGGAGAAGCGAGTGATTGCCACACCTCCCCATTCTAATGTGCCATAGCTAGAGCTTGTCATCAGTTGTGAACATATGTATACTCTGCCTTCTCGGGCCTTCGTCAGTTTCTCAATTAAAAAACAGAAGGGTTCCAATGAAACATATTTTCTCCATGTGCTTCTGAAAACCAAACAAGAATCCAATGTGCACCCTTATAATACAAGAACAACAATGCCCAAAATTTCACAAGCACGACACCAGACCTAGTTGTTAAGCTTCCTATTGGAAGCTTTTTGTCCAGTGTCATTGGCACAAATTTGTTCTAAAAAAGTTCAAGTTCAAATGCAGTAGTAAAAGACTCGTCTAATTAGGCATGTGAGCAAGACATTGAAGCACTGGAGTCTCAAATTAATGATCGCCTACAATTTGCAACACCACCGCTGCCCGCACTGCCAAGCTAGACTACCATCCAGGGGTCCGCCAAGTTCATTAAAAACTGACGTGGGAATGTGCCATGCACTGGTACACTCTAAAGGCTGGTTCACACATCTGCATTAAACAGCTTTTAGCGTGCTCGGTTGCGTTGCTCTTGCCTGTAGCCGCTAGGGACGATAAAACAGTCTAACGCCATCTATCAGCCCTGGAACACGTCCGACAAGCATACAACTAGAGTAGGTTTTGCAGTGCTTTCGAGGTCAAACCTAGGCATTACGTACAAGAAATGGTCGCCCATAACATTGCCAGAATACTTCTGGCCCACCGTGAGAGAATGATGCACAAGAAATCAAAAATTATATTTGCGGATCTGAAGTGCTGCAAGGCTACCCGATACAGTAAACTTTCGCTAGTTTGACCTCGGTTAATTTGACTCTTCGTTTAATTCTATCGTGTTCACAAGTCCCGGCAAGCCCCTATACAATTCTATGGGAGGAAAAGTTTGATAGCTAGAACTCGGAAAGACTCCGCATCGGATAAATCGTCCCGAGCGAATGTGCGCGGGCTCACATTGCAAAGCACCACGGCAGGAAAACCACCAACAAAGGGCGAAACACGAGCCCTTTGCTGCTAAGCCGAACGTGCGCAAATATGCGCCTGCTCCTCTACGCCGTTGAGATGAATTGTAGCGAATGACCCGAGCCAGCGCAACCAATCTGGCGTGGAGTAGCGCGGAGAACATAGCGCGTGGTCGGGCGCGGAGACAGTGTGCGCTCTCAAAACGCTTTTCTGTAGCATCGTGTGCGGTCCATCTTACGCGCCGGAAAGCGCAGGTTCTCTTTTCTTTTTCTTTCTCTGTTGCCGACGGTCTGGATGTTTGGCACCAAAGTCGGCTCGTGAAGCTTTCTCAGCATGCACTCTCAAAGCACTTTTCTGTAGCACCGTATGCGATCCATCGCGCCGAAAAGTGCAAATTCTCTTTTCCTTTTTTTTTTTTTCTGTTGTCGACGGTCTGGCTGCTTGGCGCCAAAGTCGGCTCGTTAAGCTTTTTTTTTTTCTTTCCTTTTTTTGTAGTGCACGATTTTCCGGGGACGTGACATTTAGTTACGCCGCCCTCCAGAGATGCTTTTGGACACGCGTTTTAAGCGCAGACGGCAGCAGACCCTCCGTGAGTACTTTGGACAGTAAAAGAAAGTTCAATTTTAACAGTTTTTCTCTCCTTTTTATAATCCAATCATTCGGATAATTCAACCAAATTTCAAGGTCCCGTCAAGGTCGAATTGACGAAAGTTTACTGTAGGGGGCGCCAGTGTCTTCTTTCGTCACAAGCAGATACGGGCGAGAGCAGCACGCTCGAGCTAACTTAAACGCAAGTGTGTGAGCCAGCCTTAAAAGGGTGCTAAACCATTTTCTGCTATAGTCTTTATGGTTATAACAGATCTACAGGCTCCAAGCATCCTAAAAAGAACAAAAAAAATTACATTCATGCGTGGGAAACGTTTTTCTTAAAATCGGCATCGAAAGATTGATCGCATCGCAACTATTGCAGACACCAAGGGCGCCGTCACACGAGGAAGAGCGGGGCTCTACCCTTCTTTGTCCCGTGGCGCCATCTGTTCGATACCGATTTTAATAAAGAAATCGGCCACACACGAATAATGTTTTGTTTTTTAGGATACTTAGAGCCCATAGATTGAGTTACGACTTTAAACAGACTATCGCAGAAAGTGGTTCTCTGCCGCCAATTGTGCAGGCAGAGAGCATTGTGGAAGTACTAGTCCTTCTTTTCTCAACGGACTGTAATTGAAGAAAGGGTGAGCATGCGGACAAGATGGTGAATAATTGACATAACTGAGCACGGGAAAGATAGAGAAAAGGACGATGCATTAAAACTAGGGACAGCGCACGGCACGTTCAAGCACAGCTATGAGTATATCTATCAATGAACGATGGTCCTGTACCTGTAAAAGGGTTCATTATTGAGCAAGCTCGTAGCTGTGTTCGGAGACGCTGCACGTTGTCCCTCTTTTCATGTGTCTTCCCCTTCCTTCCCAGTCTCAGGTTCAGTTATGTCCCGTAGCTGCAGGACAGCATCGATGTATTTTCCGGCGCTTCTGGGAAGGGGTACGGCACGAGGCGCGGACTATCCAAACGCTCGTTTCGCCGCTGCCATTGTCGTTAGAGGTCCCCGGACCAAGACAAGGACAGGTACTGCACCTGGTCCTCCACCAGGGATGCCAGGACCACCGTCTTGTGGACCGAGTTGCCCAGGCGACCCCACAGGACCAGGTCGTGTCCGTCGAAGCTCGTCCCCTTCTCCAGGCACACCACGATCGCAAAGGCGTGGTACAGCAGAGGGTCATCTGCAATGTGGCACACGAATGTCGGCTGCGCAATAGTGCGGACTACCCGGTGAAGAGCGACTAAATACGCTTCAGAGTAACTGGAGTCACTGAATAGGCAACGCTTAGAGTATTGGCCCTTCATCCAACGATTTTCTAGTGGGTGCCACCATGTTGGTGCTCAGCGCAGAGCACGCACAATGGACCTTATTCCAATAAGCCTCTGCACACGCACACACCCTCTCCCCTGGTCTTGCTTCCAGCTATTGCCATTCGCAGAGGACAGCGTCCCGCACATAGAACATTGTCAAAACCTGTATTTGCATCTGTTTTGACCACTGATCTCCACTAGGGGGCTGGATGATGCATTGAGTAAACAAATATAAAGCCACCGGAAGTAAGTGGCTTGTCCTGGAAGTGAGCACTTGACAGGCCTTTTAACTCTTCCAAGTACTGGCTTGAATGGCATTTGGGATGCTGGATTTTTTCTTGTCATCTCAAGAAAGCCTGCTTGTTGCACAGTAACAGCGCGTGCATACCTGAGAAGCCTCATGGGAAGCTATTTGATGTGAAAATTTTGAGATTCTAGTTGATCAAGTGCACTTGTGTCCCACGTTCCAATGCTTTTTTCTCACAATTTATTTCAAAACGAGATTATTAAAACCCACTCAAAGACACGTATGGAAAAGCATGGATGAAAACATAGACTCGACGCACTAGGAAGCCCAGCAGACGCCCAACTTTCGGGACAAGCATTGAACTTCCGATGGCTTCACTTGCACCAGGCTCGGAGAGCAGCTATGTGCCATCCAGCCCCCTATAGTAGAGCTCAGTGGCTTTGACTATCCTCTTTGAGTGATTGGTATAATGTAGAGCATAGAAAGCAATAAAAAACGATAAACGACACATTGCGATGTCAATCTGTTCCGATGGGCAAAGGCATGTTGGGCTGCCCTTCACTCGCAGGATCGGTGGCCGAGTGAGCTAAAGTGCACACCCAGCTCGACGCGCGTGGAGCGAAAGCTCGCGCTGCAGAACCCAGGGATCCTGGGTTTGAGCCTCACCCCCGCCCCTTTCGATCTGGATGAGCATCATACCGGCGTGCGGTACGTCATATATCACTACTGCGTGAGCATGTTAAAGACCTCAGGTTAGCAGTCGTACTGCACTGGCTAAATTGCTCATCTACAGCTGAGACACCAGACGCCAAGGACGTTATTCGCGACTCCAACTAACTATAGGTGGCGCCACTCATTTTCCAAGATGGCGGGTTTAGTGAGGGTCAGAGATGCGTGCCGCTGTTGAGCCTGTTTAGTGTGCTGGCTTCACTGAGCGACATAAATTATTTCTGGTAATACGAGGAAGCTAATGTTTTATGAGCGCAGGTCACCTCTTTAACCAGAAAACAAGAACGGTGTTTTGGCGTATTAATTATGGAAGGATGCGCGTTTTAATTCTGGAGCAAAACCGAAACTTATTTCTATTTTGGATTTAATTTCTCAATAGAGGTCTTAATTTCGGATTCTTTCATGACTCAAGATGTGTCTCACATCGTAATTATTTATTTAGAAAAGTTGTTAGCGGAAACTTTATTTTGTGACATACTGTTCGATCCAGGCTGATATTCGTAGTTGTTGAAAAAATCAGTGCTGATGTCTGTGCGTTCTCGCTGCCTTTTTCTCGCTCAGATATGGGAAATAATGACAATTATCCCAGCAGAAGAATAAGAGAATAATTTTAATTTTTACAATATGTCCACGAAACGCATAAACTAATAAATGCTGCTCTCACTGCAACAACCCAAGACGGAATCCGAGCCAGACAGCTGAAGTGTGTGTGTGTGTTTTTATAGCACCGCGTCACGCGTAGGACTTCATATTACATCCGGCGTTTAACTGTTTGTCTATCTTGATAACTATGTCAGAGTGTTTCATATGCTAAAAAAAAACAGAATTATACCTTTCTGGAAAGACTATTATGGTTAAATAGAGTATCCTCGTGATCTTGGCGTTAATTAGAGGCATACATTGCCGCGATTTGTATTAATAATAATAATATTAAAATTAACATATTTGAAAAAGTATTTCTTCAAGCTCTAATATAACTTGTTGCTTATTACCTAATTTTAAACGTGCAAAGAAATATGACAATGAAAACTAGGCTAATTATCATCACTGGTTCCAATCGCTGCATTTTAATTACAAATAAAATAAAAACAGTCTAAAATCAATGAAAACATTCTAGCTAATGTGAGAAATCCACGTAAAATTACATTAATTGTGGGTAAAGTATATTGTGCTATCAAAGTCGCGACTTTTGACAATCGGCGAAACGTCCAAAGTCGCCGCCAATATATTTCCAAACCAAATGCCCAAAAATAAAAAAATAAAAAGTTTTTTTTTTATCACTAGTTGTTTCATAACATTTATTTACTTTTGTATTTGCTTGCCGTCGTTTTGCCAATCTCAGCCTTTCCAGTTCACTCGCAAAGCTTACCTGCTTGCACATCTGCTCACTGCAGCACGTTTCGTTGGCGTTAGAAGCCGGTGAAACAGTAGTGAGTTTTAATATTGCGTATACGAGCGAACTCAAGCCCTGTGTGTTTGCGTTAGCTTTGCGCGTTCCACACTGCGCGTGCGCGGAGCCCGAAATTGCGGTTTTGGATGGCGCATGGCGATGAGGCGCACGCACAACATGGGGCACGCAACTCTAACGCAAACGCACACCGCTTGCGTTTGCTTCTATGCACAATACTAAAACTCTCCAGTAAGGTACAATCCCATACCGGCTGCAGCACTACGTTGGGACAGTGAAAAGTGCTGTTTGCATTCGGAAACGACATTTCGCGAGCCATGATCGCGAGCAGTTCTGCCATGCCCGCTGAGCAGGAGAATCGGGGGACCCTCACTAGAGCACTTCCCGTTTCCGCCGCGGGAGGGCGAGCGTTGAGCTGGAGACGCGAATAAGTACTAGGAGGGGGCACGTTGCAATATTGGTGAAGCCTAGTCATAAAAAGTTTAAACGATATTGTGCCCAACGTGACCATAGATCTTTCTGGCTATTGGTGTGCGTGACATGTCACGTGCGAGATGGATGGTTGATTGTAGAAGGATTCCTTGCAGGCTTGCGCGCGCTCCATCCGGTAGGTTTTGTCAGAACGAAGGCTAGACGAAGGCTAGCTACGGTCACGTGATGTGGTCATGTCGGGCTGATAAGTGAGGAGATTAAGGAGGAAAATGAGAGAGGCGAGGCGTCAAAGGGGCATGGCTTGTGGAGGCTACGCGGCTGATGTCATGCCCTCTCCTATCCTTCTATCCTCCTTGCCAGACGCCCACTGAGGCAGACTAACTTCGGGCTGTATAAACATACACACAACAATTTGCTTTGCAGCAAATTAAGCAGCGTAAAAACAAAGTCTCCTTTTCTTTTATCAAAAAAACTTTCTTTTTGCGGTAAATTAAGCAATTAATGGTGTAATTAAACGCATAAATCTATCTTAAAATATTTACATTTCGCGGGTTATTTTATGTCTTAATCTATTTTTATTTCTACGTGCAAATCTCGCAAAGAAAACGCGTAAAAACGAACATTCGAACCACTGATCTACAATAGAGATCAGTGATTCGAACATTAAAAAAATCACGCCGTTTAGCCACTTTCCGCTTGCATCGGTTGGTGGGTTGGACACGCTGCCATTCCGATATCATCATCATCACCCGTGCTTTTACGCTCTCATGGCGTCTTTTGCCCGCTTGTTTGTGCATCTGCCGCGTTAGTTCGCAAAAATTACCGCTTAAGATCTCAGCGCTCCAAAAGGACAGCGAGTGAAGCCCCTTCGCGGTTAGTTCAACCAAGCCGCCACATCTCCGGCGTCCCAGCCGACCCACCAAAAACCAGCGAAGATGCCGTACGCCAATCAGCCGTCGGTGCACATCAGCGAACTGACCGACGAAAACGTCAAGTTCTTCGTCGAAGACACCGACCTCAGCGTCGCCAACAGCCTCCGACGCGTCTTCATCGCCGAGGTCGCCACCCTGGCCATCGACTGGGTGCAGCTCGAGGCCAATTCCACCGTCCTCCACGACGAATTCATCGCGCACCGGCTCGGCCTCATCCCGCTGACGAGCGACGAAATCGTCGACAAGATGCAATACTCGCGCGACTGCACGTGCGCAGACTTCTGCACCGAGTGTTCCGTCGAATTCACCATCGACGTAAAGTGTCTCGACGAACAGACCCGTCACGTGACCACGGCGGACCTCAAATCCAGCGACCCGAGGGTCGTCCCCGTCACGTCGCGACACAAGGACGACACCAACGAGTACGGCGAGACGGACGACATCCTGATCGTCAAACTCCGCAAGGGCCAAGAAGTGAAAGCGAGGGCGTACGCGAAGAAGGGCTTCGGCAAGGAGCACGCCAAGTGGAATCCGACCTGCGGCGTCGCGTTCGAGTACGACCCGGACAACGCGTTCCGGCACACGACGTACCCGCGACCCGAGGAGTGGCCCAAGAGCGAGTACTCGGAGATCGAGGACGACAAGGTCGAAGCCGACTTCATCGTGGAAGGGAAGCCCAACAAATTCTATTTCAACGTGGAGTCCTCCGGGGCGCTCAAGCCGGAGACGATCGTGCTCAGTGGGCTCAACGTGCTCAAGAAGAAGCTCAGTGATCTGCAGACTCAGCTCTCCCACGAGTTGCCCTGCGATTCGCTTACCATCAATTAAACCCTTTCAGCGACTCCATTTTTTGTTCTTTTCGGTTTCATGGTACCAATAAATTTGTTATTTTACTTTCGAGAAACTCGATTGCTAAGATGTTGTGTACCAAGTGTTCTAGAACAGATTCAGATCCAACATACTATTTGTGTAGTAAATATCTAAGACAGGCTGTGTGTCAAATTGTGTAACAAATTTTAGGGTACATTCGCTAAAATTGGCCGTGAAACATGTTTCTGAGTAAAGCATCATGTATTCACAGATGCAAATAGTGCTGTTTTCTGTGGCTTTCCAGACCGCTGCACCAAAGACAGTATTGGCAACAATATTAGACCAGCATTGACACTGGTGACATCAACAAGCACTCTCATGCGAGAACTGAGTCGGGCACTTAATTTCTCGGCTGTTAAATTGCTAACGTAAAATACCAGGCATTTGTCCATTCCATACTAAGCGCCAACACCAAATTTTCTAACATATGAAAAAATATGCACAGTGCATATATATCTAAAATTGATGACCTAACAAGCACCCATTCCCCAATTTTCGCGATCATTTTCATAGTTTGGGTGGCCGCTTGCTCGGCATTTTACGGTATATACGTACTGCAGGAGTTTGGTCGGAAGAGTTGTTGGATAATAAAAGTAGCACAATGAAACTGGTCATATTGATAATAAAAGTTTGACACCAACACACACAAAGTAACTGAAATGCTGCTACTTCACAATAAAAAAGTAGCAGCCATTTTCAATTTCAATGCTGCTTCAATAAATAAATAAATAAATTAAAAAAATAAAAAATCTTCAATCGTAAAGTTAGGTAATTGAGGAAAAACACTCACCAAATTGTTTTCATATGGCCTACAGGATCACCAATATCGAGATTATTTTTCAACCTGGTGCACGGAGGCTGCAGAAAATTGCTTTCAAAGTACCGCTGAAGCCCTTCTTTCCCCGAGCGTGACGTCATATCCAGACTTTCTGGAATCATTGCTCTCGCGCATCTTCAGCACCCATCAAAGCTATGCACGCGCACTCTTGCTGTTTTCAAAAAGGTCGGAAAAAGGCATCACGACTCATGTCAGTGCGAGGGAATATATCTCGTCAGATTGCAATTGCACATGCTGCCCGCACGAACGACACACGCTTCGCGACCGAAAGATCCTAGTATGGCATAACGACCGGTCGGAGGTTTTTTGGCTTTTCCCGCATTCAGTAACGCCTTTGGGGAAAACGAACGTGATATTCAGATTCACGGGATAAAAATACTAGAGTTCACCTCTAACCTTTTTCTTTTTTTTTTTCAAGATCCTCTTCAGCTTCCCTTCAAAGTTGTTTTGCCAATGCATAGCCTAAGGACAAGCAAGAAAACGCTTGGACTACAACAGAAACAGCCAATGGTGAATAAGCAAGTCGCAAGGAACTTCCCAGGCGCACACGATGCAAGGTTGAAATCATTACCTGAATACAACAAAAAGTCTCCTCCGAACTTTGCCCCACAGGTCAGGTGGTGGCCTTTCTCCCAAAGGTCTGCAAACACCAGGCAGCGAAGGCGTTCTGCATCCGTCTTCGGATAGTCCAGTGCAACGGGTTCCAAATCGGTTGTTTTTGTGCGGGGACATTCTGCGCATACAAGGAATTCCTCCCATTTGTCACATTGCTCTACCGACCAATCAATCCCGGCGGAGCTGTGATGCAAGTAAAACTTTGCAAGTTTGAATGCAGGTTCTCAAGGGCTCTCTATTAAGCAGTTCAATCACTGATCGTGCTTGTATCCTTGGGATAGCACCACACCTTGTGACCCTTATCCAATATAACTGTCAGCACTTCTGGTAAGATGTCATCTACAACTGAGTCATTCCCATCCTCATTTTCATGTCAAGGAGCCTAAGTAAAAAATGCGAACCCTCGCAGAGCATTTCCAACTTCCCCCTTCATTTGGCGAATTGAGAATTGTGCAAGTGAATGTAAGATTCAAAATTTTTTATTTTATACACACACACATCTTTGAAAAGCAAGCAGCACAATTTCATTTCCTCCGACAACTAAATCACGGATAAACTACCTCAGGCAGCGATGAACTGTGAGTACAACTTAGCTTTTTATACCTCTTAAAAAACCAAAACCACGAGGAACCAAAAAGGAATACACACGCAAAGACATTTTAACCGGCAGAGTTGCCAGGACGTGTAAAGATGAAAATTTAAAACATTATTTATAAAATGAATATCAAGAGTAACCAGGGGCGAATGCAGGAATTTCCAGAAGGGGCAAGGGGGTTAGGTGCTGGTCAGCGTACCATATGTTTAGGAACCCCCCCCTCTCCCTCATTTCCACGCCCTAAATTTCTACACATGCAGAAATCAAGAAGGGGGTCAGGACATCCGGACCCCCCTCTAAATCTGCCCCTGAAAGTAACAACTTTATTTCTAGATGACCAAAGCAAAAGATATATGGTGTACAATAAAAGCATGACTGAAGGCAAAAGAAAGCCCTTCAACAAATAAGCAAGGCTCAAAGTAACAAAAATCCCAAAGAAAAAGGGAATATATACTTTCAAATGGGAAAACCAGATAAAAAGAAAACTAAGAAGAAAAGCAGCAAAGGCCTAAACTTGTAAGACATGGGAAAGTTGAGTATGCTCTAGGGTAAAGGCTGTGTTCCGCGACTTCAGCAGATACGGATACTAAGAAGAAGCTGAGAGACGGTCGCTCGAGAGCTATTGGAAGCTTTCTTTATCAAAAAAAAAGTGGGATGGCATGTGTCAGTGACACTTCTATTGTTCTTCATTGTAATGAATTTCAGTTTTTGAGTCATCTGGTGAAAAATTAATCAACCTTAACGTGATGCTGCTTTGCCTGTCGTGTGTATATATGTGTTCAATTTTCCTGAATAAAACTAGTTGAAAGTTAGCGCCTGTCCTGTATACTTCTTGTCCTTGTCTTTTTGTTGCGCTATATTGTATGTTTTAGTAAAGAGTATGCCCTAGAATGTGAGTATCACCCGAATAATTTTTTGCTACAGAGTCGGACAAGGGTAGGCTGAAGCATGGCAAGGGTAGGATAAATGCCTCTGCATATTGTTATCAACCCTAGTAGTATCTGTTAAGAAAAGAAAACAACATTAAACTGACATCAAACTTCAGAGGTCAACAGAGTCACTTGAGTGGTCTCACTCCTGTGACAATGAATTAAAGTTTTCTTCAACCCAACACATTTTCTATGCTTCGATAATTGGGACAATAACGATTGGTGGATTCAATTATCTTCATTAACGATGTGCCTCCGGCACCGCCGTATCCATTAAATGTTTCGACCTCAGTGTCATCGTTGCACGCAAGTAACCAGTTTTGATGCAAAAACACAAACAAATACTGAGTGACAAGTATTTTCTATTCTATCTTTGGGGCCTTAAAGGGGTACAGAATTGAAACTTGAGATATCCCACAAACACTTCGAAACATGTGAAATATGATCCATAATATCTGTTAATGCTTGTATTTTCGGCGGACTTGTATATTTTTTGTTCCAACTGACGGAATCCGACGAGCGCTTCAATATCAGCCATCAATGCAACGTGATGCATCTTGGGATATTTGCCCCTGACGTCACGCTTGCAACGTCACGGGCCCGTTAACGGCCAAGGGTGCCGTAATTTCGATCGTCATCACTAGGTGTCGCCAGTTTTCTCGTGAACACGTTACAATCCCGCCAAGTGGGAACACCTAGGGTATCGTGTACTAGAACTGAGAGGTGTGCCGAGCACCACTTGTTCCCGTGCACCTACATCGGACACGCCGCGCCATGGCCCTGCTGCTGATGGGCCCGCGATGTCAGACATTCCAATGAAGCTCGGCCCCCCCAACTACCGGGTGGTAGGGAGAAATTGTTTTATTCGTTTTAAAACTGCTTTTTTTTGCATTTACAGACGAAAGACTGGTGTTTATGAGCTGCGGTCATAAAAGAGACCACGTCTACACAAAGAAATATGCACCAAAATTTCACTTCCCCCCAAAGTTGCATGTACCGTATGTCACGAGATTGTTTTACACTTAATATCCCTTCTGCTTGATGTTCTGCACTCGAAGATCAATTGGCCGATACGAAAAACGACAGCTCTGAAGTAGCGGCCTCACGTCTGTTCCAACATTGACCTGTCGTGCACTGTCATCGCGGCGTCTAGCCCGCGGTATGTCGCCATATTAAGAATGACACATACACATACTTCCTGTGATCTGCACAAAACATTTGTTTTTCGGATCAACATATATGCAGCGTTTTAGAGGTCACAAAGATAGGGTTCATATCTTTTTCTATTTTTAATATTGAATGTGTGCCTTAGATGACCCACGGCTTAGAATATATTTGGTATGCATCATTCGAACGCCACGTGACCAAGGAAAAAAGAGTGAGTGCGACCGAAACCGGCTGTTTTCAGGCAGAAAGAAAACGAACCTTGAGCTGCAAATTGTTTCGGGTAGCTAGCATCTTATTGGCCACATTCAAATAAAAACCTTGGCAAGCATAAATACCCCGTCAGTGACCCTTTGAGGTCGCATTTCTGTAAAAGAACTGAGGCATGCGTAAATACCTTGTCAGAGGTCACCAATCCGAATCAATTATAGTCACTCACAGGATGCGGGAATGGCAAGGAGGTCTTCCAGTCATCCCACCTCTGGCATGGGCTTCCCATCTATGATAACACTTCAGTATCTTGCGAGCTTTGAGCACGCACTTGCAGCCAAAGCACAGCAGAAGCCAACAAGCGCGTGCTGAAGCTTGGGATTCGAAAAGCATGCCCTGCCATTCTCGTCCCATATCTGTAACTACAATAAAAACCTGCAATGGAGTTTCTGCCCCTCACCCGTGAACACGGGGTAACAGGTGAACTCCCTCGACGGAGGCTTCACTCGGCTCATCTCTTCCGCAATGACCGCTTCCTTCTGCGCCTGGACGTCGACCGGCAGCGTTTCCTCGCCGGGAGTCGACGCGGAGGCGGCATTAGGCTGTGAGCTGCCCTTCCTCATCTTGCGCCGCATCCTCTTCGAGACGTGCTGTCCCGACGCCTTCAGCAGCCGGCCGGCGGTGATTTTTTCTGCGTACTGGACGATCTCTTCGCGTCTCTGCGACATGACGAGCTCGGCCTGCGGCAAGACGGAATTGAGAGAGCCGTTCTGACATTAAGCACCGCCTAGTTGCTCGGACGACGGTTGAAATTCTTACGTGCTAATGGCAGTAAAAATGTATTATGGTCGCTTTCAAGCGTCAAACTGCCGCCTGATAAGTGTTCTTCGCCACGCAGCTTTCTGTCGATTCGTTTCGATCGAGTCAAAGAAACTACAAAACCCGAGAAAAGAACTCTTTGAAATTGATCATAGCGGAGGGGAGGGTGCGTGCCAACTGCGTGATCGGACAGAAATCCAAGATGAATGCTCGGGCAGTGCTTGCATCCAATTTGTACCTTGCACTGTGCTATTGTCTAGAATGTACAATTGTCACGTTATCCACTTCGGAGCATGTTACACGGCCACCAGAAGGCTACTAATTAGTGTTGTCAGGATGCCGTACATTCAGGTGATGATATTCAATTCCTTTTTTTACTCTCATGTTACAAATGAGCGATGAAGGCATTGAAAAAAACTGCAGAGGTGCAGCTTAAATAAAATGACCAGATTAAATTTAGAAACGGTATAGTTTAGTATGCGGAAGAAGCATGCTCTTAGTAAATGCATTTGGGGCTACCTTGCATAGGCAGAATAAGAACAGATGTTAGTAGTAAATACTTACATTCTCTACCACCTTTAAAAATTCTTTGAATAAACCATAAGCTTTATTAATGAGAATAGACATAGCCTCCTGTATATTGATTTACAGTATAGAGGAGACAATGTGATAGATTACAGCTTTAAAAGGTGGCCCTTCAACATCTTCGCCAGTTGAAAATGTTTGATGAGACAAATCAGAGATCAGCTAGGCTGCCTTGAAACGGTCGGTCACGGCAAAATATTGAACAGTGTTCATACGGTGGTTAGTTCAGTTGCACATATGGCATCCAGCTTCAAAAGTTAAAACTGTGTGATACCAAACAGATCGTAAGAAATTTCATTGAACGCCGCTTCATCGAATAAGTGGACATTTTATCAAACGCTGAATCATTGAACGCCGTTTTATAGAATTTCACTTCATCGAATTTCGGAGCATTATAGTGTTTTTAAATGCTTTACTCTAGCTTTTGAGTTGTTTTCACATTGCTGTCGAATCACCAGAAATAGAATTACTACCCTGGCCACCTTTTTGGCTAAAGTTTCGTTTATGAATTATGGAAGATAAGCATCTGTACTCCTTGTTCTTTATTTGTTCACACACGAAAGGTACATCCAGAAAGGAATATAACTATTCTTTGTTTTGCCTTTCTTACTTTGTATCTATATCTATATACTTTTGTTTTCAGTCTATCCTAGTCCTGAGAATATAGCTTATTTTCTAAGAACGTAGGTTGAAAAGCCGGCAGGTACACGGCTCTGCCGATTACGAAACAAAAACAAAGAGGGGAGACACATCTTTTTTTCTGTTTCATGCAACATGGAGACATATGTCATTTCTTCAAAGACGGCTTCATGCTTGAAACAGAATGAGTCTCTTCAAGGATGAAACCCAATGAGAATGAGTCTCTTCAAGGATGAAACCCAATGATTACAGGTTTCATAAATTGTCAAGGCAGAGTTCCCGTTTATTATTGGCAACATTAGCAGTGCAATTGCTAAGAAAAAAAAATAGAAATGAAAGGTGCAGGGGACAAAATTAACTTTCTTATTGTTAGGTCCCCTCTCTGTAGGAAAAAAAACAATCTGCTATCCTTCCAAAATTAATAACAAAAAAGCTATTTTTTAGATTAATAAATTTTACCGGCCGATTAGGCGGTATTCAGTGAAGCAGCGTTCGATGAAACGGCTTCAGCGAAACAATATTTAATAGAATGGCGTTCGATGAAATGCCTGGGCCCAGGTATATAGTATGTTACAGATTAAGAAAAGCAGGACAACCTAGAGTCGCGGAATACGTTTCCAAAGTATTGAAACCTTCAAGCTCCGTGCCATGGCGCTCAAATTCAGCCATATCCGTGTCGCCATTTTGGATCCTTACATAGTAGTGCACTGCACAATAAGTGTATGCACACCGAGTCGCTGGCATTGTCGAAAGGTCTTTCGGGTCAAGTGTGTGGCGTTGTAGATAACCGGTTTAAATCATTTGCAACATCATTCACAATGCAGTCTAGCTGCACACATTTAATCACTACTCCACGGTTCACGTTAAAGACCCCCAGGTTAGTAGTCACACCTCACTGGTAAAATTTCTCATTTTGAGATAGGTCACCTATCGCTTTATAAATATACAAAAATATCAACAGTTCACTCGACCAGGGTGGTCTGTGCCGAACTTTATCACTCAGAGCTTAGCCGCTTATTTCTGTCATCAGATTAAGCCACTGGAATTTTCCTTGTTACGCTTTTTGAGCATACAAAAGACTGTCGTAGAAATGCAGAAGCATTTCATAGATATTTACAACTGCATACAAGATGCTCAGGACCGGACAGCAACAGGATAGATTGAAACATAGTATCAAGCCCTTGTGACAGCTTGACTATTTCTTTACTGGCCAAATGAAGTTCACTGCCGATGTTCAGCAATGATTTCCCGATGACGATTCTCAAGGCAGACAAATGGAACTGACGCTGAGTTACGAGAATGGCTTGATATGAAATTATTGACTCTCTAAACTGCAAACACCAAGGATGTTTGTGTCATCATTCATTCTACCTGAGCAGCCAAAATGCATCTTATTCACTCGGGACATCAAATGACATACTTACCTAAGTATAAGACCTTGATGTCAAGGCTTCATTCATGTTTTTTGTACCACAAAAGAGGAAAACAATGTAATAAAAAATAAAGAAACACAAACGGCAAAAGCTTGAGTGCCCATTCACACAAAACTGTTTGCTTAAATTGCATTATGAGACCCAGACATTCGTGGTTAGAATTTTGCATGCAAAGCCACTTCTTTCATTTTTTTAATGCCGCGTACAAAGCAAAGAAATTTGAACAAAAAGCACTGCAATATAATTCTTGTTCAGAAGCAGCCGTTCTTCCAAGCATTGAAGATAAAGTAAGTAGGCAGGCGAGCTGGTTGATATTACAGATTTTTGAAAACCGGAGATGACGGACGAAGAAGAAGGCAACACACAAAATGTTTTGTGTGTTGTCCCCTTCCTCATCTGTCGTCTCCTGTTTTCAAAAATGTGTAGCTTCCAAGCATTGTTTGTGCCAAACCAAGCTCAGTTGAAGCAGCGCCTGATCAAACTAGCTTTGTGAGGTGAGGCAACGAGCAATACTCACCTCACAAAGCTTGCTTCCTGCAGTGGGCTTGGAATTCTTTCGTTTTATAATGGCAAGCCAAACACTCCCCCACATCATATTAGCGTTCTTGCCTGACGGGAAGCGGAGGTCTTTTGCCGATCTCTGACCTGCTTCGGCACCCGAAGGCACAGCAAGCAGGCATATGGTATTCGCGAAATACGGAAACGTTAGGATGTGATTTTAAGAAAATATGTGTGCCGTGGCGCTAAGTGGCTGAGAAGTGACCCGAAGCGTTGCAGCAGAAGCTGGCTGGTCTTAATATGGTGGCTCATAGCGGAGATTAAAAAAATTCATAATGGTAGTGACGGCACAGGTCTCACGTGACTGCTGCCGTCCAGTGATGCCGCAAGAAATCAAAATATACACGGCTAGAGTGGGACTGTTGTCGGCAAAGCATTAAAGAATCGGGATGCGATACTCTGACACAATATTCAGTGACACTAGGACAACCCCCCTCCACAAAGCTCTCATGCTCGCCATGATTACTGCTTTAAGCGCGAAACACATGTACGACGAAACCGTCCGATCCGACGTCCGACCGCGCAATACGACGGTCGGAGGCGAGGGTTTTCAACGCTCTCCGATGCTACGAAAACCCTCTCCCCCCCCAAGGTCATTCCGGCAGTCCGCACGTCGGATCGGACGGTTTCGTCGTACATGTGTTTCGCGCTTTACTCCTCTCCAGCGCTCGCTCTGCTAAAGTGGAAAGAGTGGAATGCTTCATGGGAGGATCTTGTCACGCTTTTCTTAACTTGCAACAGCTTGTCTCCCCCCGGCTGAAACTTTAACGGAGCAAAACCTTCTAAAATTATGTTTTGCCATTAGACTTAAGCTACTGCTGAGGATCTAATGCAATGATGTAATCTGACCACCCGTCTCGAATGGCTAACCTGTTGCTCGTGGATCTCTTGCGCGTGCTTTTCGAGCCGGGCTCTGTCTTGATCAGTCGGGGCTTTGGTCAGCCTCGTGTTTTTCACCAGAACAGCTTTTCCTGCAAACCGAAATTGATTCCAGCGGCAACTCTTAGCGCTTTCGAGTCTGATTGTCTGTGCGAACAAAATGGGGCTCACCTTTTGTGACGAGCAAGTGCGTCTCGTCCATTGAGAGTTGCACCGGCATTCCCAAAAACACACTTTGATAGGGACACCGCGGAAGACAGCCGACTTGCACGCCGCTTATTCGGTATTCTTTTCGTATTCTTTCCACATCTGGAACAGAAAAGAACTCCCTCGTGTCAACGAGTCAGCCAAACAAACACGAGCAACCCGCCACGGCGTGCGAATCAAGTCATATTTTTCAGACCCAGTTCAAAAGTTGTCAACTTACCGTCGGCATTCCAAACGAAAACGTGATCCTTCTGTAGATACAACTTAACAGGATCCTCACTCATAGTAACGGTCAAGCAAGGATTAATTCCACAAAGGCACAAATGATACTCTTGTATCCTGCGTTCCGAAGAAAGGAAAAGCATCAGAGCAGACGAACGCGAGCAGGAAGCGGAAACGATGGCGCCACCAGCGTTTAAATGCCGAGATCACGTGACTTTCAATTTGGCGCCAAATCTTGGCGGAAATCGGCGTAGTGGCGGCCGACCTTTGTTGTTGATCCCGTGCGCTGGTTCACTGGTTCACTGAAAGTAAGGTGAAATCATGGCTGATACCGACGCTGAGCAGCGGATAAGGGAGTACCAGAGGGAGTACCTCGAGTTCCTGGACGACGACGTAAGTCAAAGATCGAATACTCCGAGGCGCGATTTCGGCTGCGCTCGCTCACGTTGTGACCCTGTTCCGTCGAACAGGACGACCAAGGCTTCTACAGCCAGAAGGTGAAAGAGCTGATTACCAGGAAAGAGAGCAGGATAATCGTCAACATCAACGATCTGCGCAAGAAGAATGCCAAGCGGACGAAAGGGTAACGCCGCCATCCATTCTGTGCACTCGCATGGTAACACGGGAGCGGGACAAAAACGAGATGACAACGCAAAGCTTCTAAAACTCCATCGTTCCTCAAGGCACCCCAAAGCACTCCACTTCATGCAACAGATTATCAGCTGCCTAGACAAAAAAAAAAAAAAAATGTAAAGATAATACTGCGTCCTGGGGATTAGTAGTGCCGAAAATAGACTGTTAATCCAATTAAAAACCCTGATAACATTTTTTTTTTTTTTTCAGGTTGCTAAACAACACAAGTGAAGAAATTATCGCGTTCCAGCGTGCTCTCAAGGAATTCGTGATTTCCGCCGATCCATTGCTGGCCAAAGAGCAGGAAGAGTACTACATAGGTCTAGAAGGAAGGTGAGCTTGCACCGTGTTTTTCTTTCTTTATTTATTTATTTATTTTTTAATATTTACCCCTCAAACCTCCCCTCATCTGGTATAACGTTTCCTTCAAACTTCTTCGTTCGTTTTCAGCTTTGGGTCCAAGCATGTTACGCCTCGGACTCTGCACTCTCACTTCCTTGGAGGCATTGTGTGCGTTGAGGGCATTGTCACCAAATGTAAGCTTCTTTGCAGCACTCTTTGCACTTAACACAAGACATACGTAAAATGTGGTCCACGCTTACAGCTATATCATAAAATACTGAGCATCTGCCCATTTCACAACAAGCACCCAACCTTCAATTTTGTAACATAAGGAAAATAGAAAGAGGACATGCCTTTACCTACGGAGCGCTAGTTCTGCTTCTTGCACAGGGGTTGCACTGGCATCAGAACGCCAAGCTCTAATGGAGGGATAGTGGGTAGACCTCAAGGCATTTAGCATTGAGGTGTACCCACTATCCTTTCAATCAAAGTCAATCAGCTCGGCGTTGTTGTGACGTCACCGCAACTCCCGCGCAAGAAGCGGACAAACTATAGTGCTCCGCATTGTTGACCTAAAGAGCACCCATCTCCCAGTTTTACATGGTTGCCTCAAAATTTTGAGTGGGCGCTTGCTCAAAATTTTATGAGCGTTTGCCGCAGTTGGGAGTACAGTTTACTCTCATTAATTCAAACTTGTGGATAATTCAAACTAACATGCAGGACCCATCCTATGCATCTCTATGGAGGGACACTCCTGATAATCCAAATGTTGCTTAATTGAAACAAATGTTCGGCCCCCCTCGAGTTTGAATTAACGAGATTTGACTATATCGGGACAACCTCTCCCACAAAGCTCTCTGCTCGCTACGATTGATGGCTTCCTTCTCTCGACAAGCCTCCTCTCCAGTGCTTTCTCCGCTAAAGTGGAACGAGTAAAGGGCTTAGGGGGATGGGCTTGTCTCGCTATCGTTAACGTGCAGCAGACTAGAGAAACTATGAAACGACATACAACTGAAGTGCAATTTCTGCGATCGTTCCAGGCTCCCTGGTTCGCCCCAAGGTGTTGCATAGTGTGCACTACTGTCCGGCGACGCAGAAGACGCTCGAGCGCCGTTTCACCGACCTCACTTCCCACGACGCTTTTCCGTCCTCCGGGATCTATCCCACGAAGGTGCGACCTGCCCTCCCAATTTTCGCAAGTGTTGAGGTCACTTGCAAACACGCTTATTCTTTTAACTCCATTCACACCAGCGTGATCTGTGCTGCCCAATGTCGCAAACACTTACAACAAAATTGAAATGTACTTCAAACAAGCTATGTCTCAAGTCCATATCCTGCATTGTTGAAACTGAGAAAATCAAGGAAGGAGCTTTTTTTTCTAGCAGTATGTTCAAGGTACGAGGGAAAGAACGGCAGCGTTTGAACACTTTCATCAATTCAGTACCGTTGAAAGTTGGGCAAGTCGGTTGATTGTGGTTAGGAGGAATGAACAGTGCCAAAAAAATGAAGGGACAGAGACCAAGCGCCTACTTTAGGTCGGTTGAAAGTCGCCACTTGGTATGCGTAACCCCTCTTGTCGTTCATTTCTCTGGCACAGTTCTCTCTTTGTATACATTAATTCAGTTGAATTCATTAGTGTTATCGTGCTATGCTTGTTTGGCCATTTGTTGTAGATATTTCTTTCTTTTGTATTTGCAATGTCTTTACTTTAGGCTGCTGTATTGAGAGGAGGGGGGGAGGAGACCCTGTTAGGCATCCCACCTTTTCTCTGCCCCCCTGTAGATTCTATCTGCAAAATAAAGAAAAAATTGACAGCACTTTTACCTTTAGATTTCTATAATGCAGTACTTAAACATATAAATTTGTTGAAAAGACATTAGGTAGTTGTTTTTGGGGAGAAGAAGAACCTACATATTTTATCAATTTCCTGTTAAATTTGGTGGGGAAACCGACTTGGTGCACGGTCACATGATATCAATTTTCCCATCAAATCTAGTGGGAAAACTGAATTGGTGTGCAGGTCTCGTGGCATTGATTCCCCCCCTAAATTTAGCGGGAAGACTGAATTTGTGTTTGGGTTACACGACATCCACTTCCCTACTAAATTTAGCATGGGGATTGAATTGGTGTATACGCGTGACATCTACAGGGTGTCACAAAAGAAAATTTACATGGTCTTTTTTACCGCAAAAATGAACTAGGCATCGCTAAACGCTCATTCTCCGCCCATAGGTAGCGCTAGAGGTCACAACCAGATGCCAAAGTTTCAGCCCGATCCGATAACTTAATCAAAAGTTAGAAGTGATTTTCTGAAAATTTCAATGGCAAAATGGCGGCCGACGGAGTTTTCAAACACATGGGGCTCTATGGCACCAGAAACCAAAAACGGGCAAAAATGGGCTCCATTTTCCCATTGGAATTTTCAGAAAATCACTTGTAACTTTTAATTAAGTTATCGGATCGGGCTGAAACTTTGGCATCTGGTTGTGACCTCTAGCTCTACCTTTGGGCGGTGAATGAGCGTTCGACGATGCCTAGTTTAGTTTTGCGGTAAAAAAGGCAGTGTAAATTTTTTTTTGTGACACCCTTTATTTCCCTAATATACTTGGCCTGGAGATTAAATTGGTGTGTAGGTCATGTGACATCCATTTCCCTAGTAAATTCAGCATGGAGACTGAATTGGTGTATGGGTCACATTGGCCATTTCCCTACTAAATTTAGCATGGGGACTGAATTGGTGCATAGGTAATGTGATATCAGCTCCCCCACCAAATTTAACTAGAAATGCATGGACAGACTAACAAAATTTAAAAATTGGGAGGTGGGGTAGAATTCTGTTAAAATGAATTTTTGCTTAAAAAACATTGATTGACTGATTGTTTACATTTGCACACCGCAGGACGAAGACGGGAACCTGCTGGAGACCGAGTATGGACTGTCCATCTACAAGGACCATCAGACCCTCACTGTCCAGGAGATGCCCGAGAAGGCACCCGCCGGCCAGCTTCCCCGTTCCGTGGACATTGTGGTCGACGCGGACCTCGTAGACCACTGCAAACCGGGCGACCGGGTGCAGGTGGTGGGCACCTACCGCTGCTTGCCCGGAAAGCAGGGAGGATTCACCAGCGGCACGTTTAGGTGCATACTCTGCTTCTGCGCAAATGGCATCCATTGTCCGGCGTGTTGAAGGTCATACTTCAGATACAGCAGCTGGAGTGGAGGTTTCCTATGGGGAGCGCAAATTCATCTGCTTCTTTTGCATGGGTTGTGGTGATGTCAGAACGCCGAGCTCTGATTGAAGGTTAATGGGTAAACCTCAAGACAGCCTGCCTTGAGGTCTCCCCACTATCCTTCAATCGGGGCCAATCAGACCTTGTCGTCATTCTGACGTCACCGCAACCCCTGCACAAGAAGCAGACGACTTGCTCTCCGCATACGTTGTAGAGTCGGTTTATCAAAGAAAGAAGTTTGTTTGCTTCAATACACTTCAGAACATTTGCACCTTTCCTTGGAGATCTGAAAATTTTGCAATGTGGTAAAATGGGCAACACCACAAGCACAAGCTTTCTTTTTAAAACTGCATGCATATGTGCAAAAATAACACTATATATTATAATAAACTGGTAAGCTCTATATTGTATTCAACATGCACTACACTGTACTATTTTGCGATCTGCCAAAAGTGTTTTGTAACCTTAGATTATTATAGGGAGATTCTGCCACATGGACATGTCTATGAAAAATATTTGGTTGTCTGTGAAGTCTAGAAGCAACACTTTAGAGCTGTATTCGTTAGCGCCTACAGATTGTATGTTGCGTGTGTTAGCAACATAGAAAGTTTGACCTTGCTGAGGAAAAGAGGGCTGTTTAAAATATTTTTAGTGCAAGGTGGCACATTAGATGGTACAGCTCGTCCAAGAGCACTGGAATTTTAGCTCGCTTAGCCTTCATCGTCTTTTAATTGTTCTCCCCCGTCACGGCCACTAATGCATATTCATCACAAAACGTAGCTTGCCCTACCTACATGTTCGCAAGTATGGCCTCTGGGCACCGCCATCTTGCTGCTAATGTGTGTAGATTGTCCAACAGTCAAGCCTTGCTAAGGCATGCCCACGGTTACCTGACTGGCTCCCCAACAACGCATTCTTCCACACAGGGTGACCAGATTAGCTTTAGAAATGCGGCTGCTTCCAAACGTGTGTAGAAACCATTGCCGTTACAGGTCCATCCTCCTCTCCAACAACATTCGTCTGCTAAGCAAAGAGGTGGCCCCAAACATCTCTGTCGAAGACGTCAACAAGTGCAAGGCCATCAGCAAGCAGAAAGGGGTGAGGGCTCGAGTTAAGCGACATGCCCACGACCTACCGAGAAAAATGGAAGATCGGTGTCAGCAGGCAGCCTTTTCTTCTTCAGGACGTCTTTGAAATCCTGGCCCGATCTCTGGCGCCATCCATCCATGGCCACGACTACATCAAGAAGGCCATCCTCTGCCTTCTCCTTGGTGGTGTTGAGAAAGTGCTTCCCAACGGAACGAGACTTAGGGGGTACGCGATTCAAGCAATACCTCAGTCGCATGTCTTGACGAGTTTAAAATATCTCCACCTGTTCGGTAAACGGAAGTTAATGAATGCTGCTCTCCAAGCAGCGGTGTCTATTCACCTATGGTATGGGTCGATAGCACACTTGCGTTGCAGCATATCATGCCCTGACGTACATCCGGCACTGTTTGCATGTTTGTTTTAGGTGTATGATGTTTTTGAGAGACAATATATTTTCGGAAATTAGTGGTTCTAATAACCTTGTGGAAAACACACATTTTGCGAGCAGCACGTATTATAAAGTTGAAATAAACTGTAACGATGCCAGGGACCATTGACAGCGAGTGGCAGCGTGTATCAGCGACAGTGACAAAAGTATCTATGAATTGCACTTCATTTCAGTTTGTGTGAGTGTATCGAAACCTACAAGAGTGAAGTCCTGGCTTTCGGCATCCCTGCCAAGCACCCAAGCTGGTGCAGCTTAAGCTTCGGCTTCGCTCGTGCATAAAGCAAAAGCAAACCGTAGTAGTTTCGGGTGTGCCGCACTGCTCTGCAGCATGACAGCTTCGTCATCTTCCTCAACTTGCTTTCGCTGTTTTTACTCTTTTTTTTATTCATTTCTTTTGTTCAGTTAGAGCGCAATCGAATGGGAACCTTACTTTTCTACTCCGACAGTTCTGTGGTAACTGTAGTGCACGCCCTCTCCATTTATGTGGAGGTTAACCTTGAACGTCTCATGCTTTAAATCGTACGTGCAGGGACATCAACTGCCTCCTGATTGGAGATCCCTCTGTGGCCAAGTCGCAGCTGCTCCGATACGTCTTGCACACTGCGCCGAGGGCCATCGCCACGACCGGACGCGGGTCCTCCGGCGTGGGTCTCACCGCTGCCGTCACTCACGACCAGGAAACGGGTACCGCTATGCCATTCTTCCTAGAGCTACCGAATGGGCTATGCTTCAAAGTAATGCCACATCGGCCATCTTGCTGGAATCGACCAGCAACTTCCGCTTTTCACGGCACTCTGAAGCATTTTATTGCCGCTTTGGGCCTTCGTGATGAAAAAACAATTTGCACAGTAGAGTAGGGTGCTCGCATATTCCTTTTTTTTTTAATATAACATTTTGTTTGTAAAGTCTTCGATGCATTCTACTAAAGACCCCACGTTAGGCGGCCATACTCAGCTGACCCCATTGGCCTTCTGCAGTGGGGACACAAGATGTCTCTCCAAGGTAGACTGCCCTCTTGGTTTACGAACATCCCAACTACAGATCTGACTTTTCAAAACATGAAAAAAAGAATTTTTTTTTTTTTTTATGTATTTGGGACAGGGCTTGGGCAGACAAGTGTAAAAAGAAAAGACACTATTCGCCTGTTGATAGAGCTTTTTCTATGGCAAGACCATTACGAGTCTGCTTGACTGAATATCTTTGGCATACTGCTCGCCGCATAGAAAAACTATATGCTGCTCACTAGATCAGTCGGACTGCAGTTCAATTGCAGTGCACGTGTTGCAGCTCGAGCCTTTAACTGAACGTTTTTATGAGAAGATAGTGTGGATTAGTTTAATGCCTTGGACAAAAGCAAACCATAACCGGATAACTGACAGCAAAACATGAGGCACAGCAAGTTGCAAGCGTCGTGTTATCGCCCCGCAGCCAATGAAATGTGCGGGACCAGGAATAGATCATAAAGGTAGAATCGTGAACATAATGAGCCGAACCACTACAGCTCTTTTGCGTGCCCCAACAGCCTCAATGTCGAAATCTACTCGCAGGGGAGAAGCGCCTGGAGGCCGGCGCCATGGTGCTCGCCGACCGAGGAGTCGTCTGCATCGACGAGTTCGACAAAATGTCCGACATGGATCGTACCGCCATTCATGAAGTCATGGAGCAAGGGCGCGTCACCATTGCCAAGGCTGGGATTCACGCTCGGCTCAATGCCCGCTGCAGCGTTCTGGCCGCTGCCAACCCTGTGTATGGTCGGGTGCGTCCGTTATTTCGAATACTGATTCGAGCCTCTTCTCACGAACTGTGCGGCCGTGCCAATCTTTCTTGACTGATGGCCGAGAAACCCTTACAGGTTTTGGCGTTGCCGCAAAGAAAACTGAGGCCTACAAACCTTGCGAACAGTAATAAGCACAATGGGAAGTATTTGGCACGTAGCTATGCATTACTATAGATGTCTCGGGTCTTCTAAAACAGTGACTGAACGAGAACACTTGCTCGGGAAAAGGTCGGTCGAGGATGCTTGGGCGCTCATGGAATGCCCGAGGGTTTTCCGGAGAACCCCTCATACTTCTAAAGGGGCGCTCCGATTTTTTTTACACACGTCTGGATCGCGTACCTGGAGGAGCCAACGCAACGATACGCTTGTACGTCTCGCAGTACGACCAGTACAAGTCTCCCATGGACAACATTGGCCTCCAGGACTCTCTGCTTTCTCGGTTCGATCTTCTCTTCATCATGCTCGATAAGGTAAGCATCCGATGTTGAACCCCCTAAGAAAAGCTGGAGAATGCTTTTGTGATTGATAGTAGTTGGCCTTATGGCACCCTATGCAGAGCACAAGTTTGTCTGCTTCTTCGCGAGGTTGCAGTGACGTCAGAATTCAGAGCTCTGATTGGTTCAATAGGAAGGATAGTCATTAGACCTCAAGGCAGCTGGCACTGGGGTCTACCTACTATCCTTCCAATAGGATCTAATCGGAACTCGGCGTTCTGACGTCACCGCAACCCCATGAAAGAAGCAGACGAACTTGTGCTTTGCATAGACGTTTGCAAGTACGGCCTATGGGTACTGCCAACTCAGGCTGGCACGTCCGACAGCGTGCTGTTTATACACGTTTGCAAGTCCAGCTTCAAGGCGCTGCCATCTTGCTCGGCAGGGGTTCGCTTAGACGCGTCGTAATCCGATTACAAAGCCTTGCTAAGGCGTTGTAATCGGATTATGGCCGCGCCCAAGAGCGCACCCCACTGAGCAAGATGGCGGCGCCCTGAGATCGGACTTGCAAACGCGTATAAACAAGTCCGCATCTGCCCACCCCAGGCGTGGGCACCGCACATGCGCAAAAACCAGACCTGCGTGAGGTGAATCATGTGCGCGTGCACCATAGAGAGCCTGTATCGTAGAGAGTGTCCGACGGCTTGATCGGGGTCTCGCGTTTTATGGGTTGCAATTGAATTGCGAGCAGCAAGAAGGTGACGAAAGCGTCGATCGTCTGCAAACGTCTTTGCCTTTCCTCCTCGCCACGCAAAATCACTGCTTACATGCACCCACAAGCGATTTCCGCGAAAGCTGTTCGTCATTAAATTCCAAACACTCCCCATATATTTGGATGGTCCATCTCAAGCCATAGGGAATGTGCAATTTAACTGGACGTTTTTCTTCTCTTCGATCTGGGCTCTCTATCGCATCGTGGCAACGGCAGCACCACAACAGGTGCGACGTCAGAGCCACGTGTTGGCCTATAGAACCTCTGATAGTCTTGCTAACACGTGCCTACGGTTGCCACAATGACACCCGAAGAAAGCATCTTCTATTCACAGTGGCCAGACTAGCTCTTTACGCACTGCTGCTTGCAAACGTGTTTATCCTGTGGTCCGGAAAGCCATGGCCCCTGCAGTTTGAACTACCAAGTGTGGCCTTTCCTTAGTGTTTTGATTTTAATCAATCTTTATGTCTGTTTAATGTTTAAAGATGGACCCGGAAAGCGATCGGGAGGTCGCCGACCACGTGGTGCGAATGCACCAATACCGGAGTCCCGGAGAGCAGGACGGAGAGCGTGAGTTTCCGACATTTCGTTTTCTGGCGCGATTCTCGCCGTTGTCTCACTGAGATGACGAAACAGCGTCTTAATGTTGTGACTTCTTTCGTCTCAGCTTTGCCGATCCGAAGCGCGGCCGATCTGCTCACGACCCACGATCCCGAGGAGCTCGACAAGGAGGGAGAGAAGGAGACGTCGATCTACGAGAAGCACGACGTCCTTCTGCACGGTTCCAAGCGCAGGACGTGCGTATCCGCAGCCTCCGCGACCGGCCTTTGCGCCGGCACCGCTAAACGAGCCGAGCTTCGAAGTAACGACGCTTCAGCCATCTTAGCACTTATAATCGTGGTTGCCAGTTATCCGAAGTTTCATCTGAAAGCTCGAGAAACATGTTTCCGTTCTCCAGAAATGTTTAGGTTGCACTTGAAATGCGAGCTAAACAATATCGCCCTAGCTTTTTCGGGTCGTAACGATTGCCATTTGTGCTGGCTCTGGACCAAGTACCGCAATGGCGACACCCTCGAGAAAATCGAGCAACGGGAGCGCCAGTACTCCGAGCGTAGCATATTTCTGGTGGCCCTACTTCGCGCAACCGGTTGCCGACGGTCGACAGCACGCCGTCACACTTGCAGGGAGAAGACAATCAGTGTGGAGTTCATGAAGAAGTACATCCACATTGCCAAGGGCATCAAGCCCACGCTGACCCAGGGAGCGTGCGACCAGATCGCTGAGGAGTATGCCAGGCTGCGTTCCTTCGACACGGAGAACACGGACGTGGCCAGGGTGCGTCCTTAACGTGCGATAAAAATAACTCTTCCCAATTTGCGTCTCTCACGCGTTCTTATCATATCGGTCCCTGTCCCTGCGTTCTCCAGACCCAGCCAGTGACGGCACGGACGCTGGAGACCCTGATCCGCCTGTCGACGGCGCACGCCAAGGCCCGTTTCTCTCGTACCGTGGAGCCGGGAGACGCGATGGCCGCCATCGAGTTGGTGCAGTTTGCCTACTTCAAGAAGGTCCTCGAGAAACCACGCAAGCGCAGGAGGAGGGGCGGCGCCGAGTCTTCCGACGAAGACGACGACGACGGTGGCGACGACGGAGACGAGGCAGCAAGGTGAGCATCTTTCCGAAGTTCTCGAGGAAACCGAGCATTGCGGAGGTTGCATTATTTCTTGCTGTACGCCATCAAAAGGAAAAAAAAACAGTTCAAGCTAACGGTACGAGCGACTGTTGCGTCTGGCGTCCCATACCTCCCGTACATCGAAACTGACGAATGATGTCACGAGATCCGGCATGTCATGCCATCGTACATCTCGATCCTGACAGTAGGTTGTAGATGTTCCGGCAAAATAGATAGGGGAACACCAGCGTCGTGGCACCCCAACTTGTTGCCGCGGAAGCTTCCACAAACTGTCGAGACGAGAGCAAGCCGCGGCGGAAGGGGCGCATTTTGTACCCGCCTCTCTACCACCCTAGGAATCGCATCAGCATGACACTTCTACGACTTCGTTGGGAGGAAATTGAGGGACCACATTGGAGGATGCAGTAAATGCGCCAGTCGAAGAGACGCCCATACTAACACGAAGTGTCGCAGGAGCAACAGTGTAATTCCTCTTTTAGCGTTGAGTAATACAAATGCATTGTTCTGCCTTACTATAATGGTGTTGCATTCTCTGGTTTCTTCTTTTACAGCAAAGCCACCACTCGGAAGGAACCCCGGAAAAAGCCGGGAGAGGAAGGTTACGACCCCTATGACATTGACAATATCGACGAGTCGCAAGGTAACATGCCACGTTTCAAGGTTACTTTCGTTTGAAATGTACAATAAGGCAAGGAGGTTGACTACTCTATGTTTGAAACATCTTTTCCGGCTTTTCGGCTCATTTTCTATGCTGTGCTGATGTCGGTTGCTGTTGTGCACTATGGCCTATTCAATGACTCATTCATGTGCTGCTTGTACAAAACAGTGGTTCAGGTCCTCCCACTTTCACGAGTGAGGATCGGGGAAAGGTCGCGTTCAGTGTGGAGTCATTGACTCTTTGCCCAGGTGTATGTTAAGATGGACCATATTATCAAAATCATGAAGTACTCAATGAAGCCTATAGTGCACTTTGATTCCAGTATCAATGATAATAATCACCATCTCATGTAGTCCACACATTGCTATGTAAGCTACGGAGCCTGTATAGGTCACTTTGGTGTGTAATTCAACTCGCTCAACTGTGTACACTATGAGCCAGTTGACAAGTCAAAGAGTTTGGAAGTGGTCAGACTATAGCATTTAGAATCAATAGGCTACATAGGGAATTCTACTCAATGCTTGGGTGGAACGGTACGAATTGGGTGTGCAACCAGTTGTCAAAAGACATGTCATACTTCTACAGAGCATCGAAAGGCTACAATATGTCGAAACCGATAAAAATGTGCATCTGCGACTGCACCAAAATCTTCATGCCAGAAGCAGCCATCGCGCAAAGCACAAAATATAATCGCAGAAAAGGTTTGACCTAAATCACCAACGACCTTAGTACTTTTTGTGTATAAAAGTGGGAGGCCGTTAGGAGCAACGGCGTCTTTCCTTTCTGTTCTGTCGCAGACGACAGCGTGCCGCCAAAGAAGCCCCGGAAGGACGAACCATCTACGTCCAGGGTAGCAGCGCTGAGGGACAGTGCATCAGAGATCTCTGCCGACAGGCAAGCAACTCCAAATGCTACCTCAGTCTCGCGTGCAACACACATCATAAAATGCCGAAGAAGCATCGATGTCCCTACAAGCACCCTCCCCAACAAGAGCAGCCGCGAGTCTAAATATTCCCGCGTTTACTCCAACAGCAGTCTACAGTAGGTAACGAGCTAAGAATGCTGCAGGTGCTCTGCCTCCAGCACGAGCCTAGTGCCTTTTACAAAGCTCATTGCCTCCACCTGGATTCTCAGCCCGTTACTAACCAAAAAGAAAAACTGTGACACTGGCCTACCATTCCATCCCGCCTTCACCGCCGACACTTTTTTAGAGGGCAGCCCTTAGGCGCCCGTGTCCGGCGTGGCGTCGCCGTCACTGTAACCTTGAGGTCACGTGACCCCCGTGAGGTCACGTAACCCGGTGATGTCACGTGACCTCTCGGCGACGGCGACGTTGAAGCTGCTTGGAGGCAGGAGTAGCAGGCAGGATGAGGAGGAGGGAGGAGGGATATACCCTCCCCTCAGTACTTTTCCCTTCTCCTCAAGAGCTACGCTCTAATTCGGCGTTACAGGGAGTTGTAAACGGCTTTCATTATTTTTTTATTTCTTTCTTGACACTTTTTAAAAAAAGATTGAGTGTGTTGCACACCTGGCGGCCACTATGTCTGCAGCTACGTGTTTCTGCTTAGATCCCTGTTTTTGACAATTTTCTGCTTTCCTTCGGTTTCTGGAGCATTCTTTTTCGTTAGCCTCCTGGGTTCTGAGACTGTTGACTACGACAAACACGAAAAAACCCAACGAGTTGTGTAGAGCTTCGTTGTAAAAGTGCTCCGAATCCACTCCAAATCAACCGAGGGAAATTTCCAGAAGAACGTTGGCACGAATGGCGTACTCTTAACTCCTCAAACGCAACACCGATGACCAGCCCGCTCTTGCACCTCGCAGGATGACAAAGTTCCGCGGCTTGCTGGGCAAGCTGTTCAAGGACACGCACACCCAGTCCCAGCCGGTGTCCAGCATCATCGACTTCCTGGCCAAGGAGGAGCAGACCGAACCGTTTACCCAGGAAGAGATCGACGTCGCCATCCAACGGATGATGGACGAGAACCAGGTCATGTTGTCCGACGAGATTGTTTTCCTCATCTGAGGGGATGGGCCCTGTCCAGACTCCCCCCCTTGACCGGGGCCCTTAAAGTTGTGTAAATACCTACCATTGTGTAACACGTTGTGGATGCTCATGGTCCTAATAAAACTTTTAATCTGTCTGGTTTGTAAAATTGAGGTACCGGGTCTCGTGGTGCGAGAAAATGTTGCGGAAGTCGCGGGTTCTCAAACTGGGTTCCCTAAAATACCCTTGTGGCTTCCCCAAGCTCACTAATTTCCCCGACCGCTCCTGCCCCTGAGAGTTTTTTTAGTGCGAAAGCATCGATTGTCCCATGGAGCGAGCCGACGTCATCAGCTTTGTTTGAAGCTGCGCCAAACGGCACATTAAATCCTTTCTCCACGTGAAGCCAGCTCTTAGCTATGAAACCATGTATAAAGCCTAGCCAAACGGCACCTATAGTCGGTGACACGTCAAGAATGAAGTGGAAGCTCCTTCCACCCCTTTCCACTTCAGCGGAGCGAACGGTGGAAAGGAGGTTGCTTCTATTTTGCGTTCACTTTACCAAAGTGGAAAGAGGTGAGAGGAGCTTCCACTTCATTCTTGACCCGTCGCAGACTATAGTTTCTCCGATCCCAAAAGAGTGGAGTAAAGCTGATCGATTTCGGGCTCGCCCACTGGCTGGCGTGCGTTGACGAGGCTCCCATTGGCCGCTGCGTGTCAGTTTCAATGACCGCCACTGCGCTGTGTGTCCGTCAGTGTGCCGGTAACACAAAACGTCCAAGGTCAGAGCGGCGAGGAGAGGGTGTGCTCTGCCGTCGACACAAATATGCTGCAGACGAAATAAGGGAGTGGAAGAATGATGTGCATGCTTTCGCATTTACAACTCGTAAGAAGTACTCAGGTGTACCTCAAGCCTTTTGAAGTGTAAACAGTGTTTGAATGGATCTAAGCCACCCACAGATCTGTGATTATGACCCACTCCCTATACTCTGTTTCATGTTAACTTGGCGAACTGTGGAGGCTAGGGAACCCCGCGACCCAATAAGAGCGTCGGAGCGAGGCATGTGACCCGACATCACTGGAGCATTTGTGTCACCACGCCAAATGCGAGACGCCAGGCCCAGGGGAACCGGCTATTGTCTGCTAGCCACGAGTCGTCTGCTCTGAAACCAACCAACTTCGGATGAACTTACTAGAATAGAAAGTTGAGCGAGTTGGTAAGAATCCATTTGAAAAACAGTGCAAAAGACACACGGACAAGGAGAGACATAGGACGAGGCGCTGTGTCTCTCCTTGTCCGTGTGTCTTTCGCGCTGTTTTTCAAATGGATTCGGATGAACGTCGACCGCAGCAACATCTCCATCCGCTAGAATAGCGAGCGCTTCGGGAACAGTTCATGAGACAACCATACGCTCAATTTACCCACAAAGCTGTGATGAGTGCTAATACCAGGTAACAGTGCGATGGTTTGAGTGGAAACGGCCGATTACAAGACTGCGATCGCCAACGGCCACGGCGCTACAAGGAGAGAAAAAATTGGAAGCGGATACGGATGTGAAGTCACTCTTTTGGTTTATATAAATGTGTGATTATTTATTCTTCATATTTTCTTGTTAAATTTGGAATCGCACAAGGTTAATTGACGTTACAAAAAAAAGGCTAGAACAACTTTTTGTCGTGAACGGCGGTGTTGCTGTGGCGTTAACAATGCCCCCGAGGCCTCGACCACAGAGTCTTATCATGTGCCTTGCTCCGGCACTCTTATTGGTTCAAGGGGGGGGGGGCACAGCCTCCACAGTTCAAGTTATCATAAAACAGAATATTGCGTGTACGTTAGGGTTTTAGTTTTTTGGGGCTTCTGTCCCACTTTATTGCATCAATGCCAGAACAGGTTTCATTGTCAACGAGTTTGAGATTCCCTGGTGTAAGTTACAGTACAATGCTTTCACACTGTAGAGAGTGTGTAAAACTACAGAATGAGTGCCTAGACTTGGCTTCGAAACTTTGCACAGAAAATAGCCGGGGATGTCGCAAGACGCTAGCTGGACACTGAGGTTCTAGAAACTTTCGGCAAGATTCAACGATGCAGAGACCTTTCTGGACAGCATTGTAAGACATTGCACAAAATATCCAATTTAAAAGGAAAACATCGGAAAAATAGTTTATTTTGATTTCTAGAAAACAGTTTCCCCATCATAATACTAAACGTGTAAAGATATGGTTTAGTTTGTTTTTGAATGTGTCGAACAAAAACTCCCATTAGTGCTGGTATTGTTTCATCTGCTCCGCCGAAGCTAATGCTGAGTCTATATAGAGCGCAAGTTAGTTCGCTTCTTTTGCAGGGTTCGTGGTGACTGAAGTCCCTTGATACTTCTTTTACAAGTAGCGACAACCAATTCAAATGACAAAGCACATTTCGCTGGAACAAAATGGTGGCATTCAGTTGAAACCTCTGCTATGCACCGGCATCACTTTCTAAAAGCTGCACCGTCGTGCAGTCGGCGCTTCAAAGAATGTTGCTACTTGTAGGAAGATCTTATCTAGGGACTTTAGTGGTGACATCAGAAAACCGAACTCAGATTGGCTCTAATCGAAGAAGAGTGGGTAGACCTCAAAGCAAGCACCTTGAGGTCTATCCACTATCCTTCAATTAGAGCCAATCGGAGCTCGGCGTTCCAACGTCTCTGCGACTTCTGCAAAAGAAGTCGCGCCTCTAGCGGCAAGGTCGAGCACTACACCCATGGGAACAACAACATGCATCACTTATGTTTGCGTTGCCGACACAGCACTCAGCGCTTGACCGACAAAGCCTTACAACCCAAAATCCCCGAAACGAGCACATTTCATCGGTGTGGTGTAATGTGCTCATCAGAGGCACTTGGCTGGATGATAGCCTTTCTATTTTGACCGAATAGAAAACTGGACTTTTTGTGTGTGCAAACTTCACACGGGCACCGATTGTACCCATTTTGTACGGTTAGAACGTCGAGGTAAAGTCGTTGCGAATCGGTGTCGCATTCACACATCGTGCATGAACAAAACCGTTCCAAACAAAAGATATTTGTCTTGTTCCAAACGCTTTTGTTTTGTTCCATTTGTTCCAAATGCCCGTTTCTTTTTTCTGGAGCACCTGGGAGTTTTCCAGCGCGAGCTTCTTGGCATTGACAGTGTTGCAACGGCATTTTGTTATTGGCCATTTTGTGACCAGAGAGCGCGTACAGTGGGCATCGAGTACTACCAAAAAAACAATTATGTATACAGTGGCTTGTTCACGGCATGGCATAGCTCGGTGGCAATGCCTCCACTTCGCAGTGTACCCAGGTTCGATTCCCTCGAGTGGCGGGCTATCTTTTCCGAGGATATGGCAAAATCTGTGATGGACGCCCTACATTGCCGACAACTACAACTGTAACATGTATATCATTCACCATGGATGTCATTTCCAGTGGTGCAAAAAACCCATAGCAGCTATTGCTGTAAAAAATATGGCTGTTCTCTTTGGCATTTCCCAAAGGCATACTAAATGTGCAGCGTATAAAATGCCTTTGCTCACATCCACCAGAAACCAGTCTGTGGCACACATTATACATGCCGCACCGAACAAACTGTTCGTGGAATGGCACTTGAACTGTCGGTCGGCCGCTGTGTAATGGCAACTGGCTTCCCGCCGCTGCTGGGCTCGGCGCCGCTGTTCTGTGGCTGCGTCCCTCGCTTCTCCCCCCCTCGCCCGCTGTTATTGCTCCTGTGTTCCGTTGGTGGCACACCAAGTCCACAAACGAGAGCCTTGATAGTATGTGTAGTTCGCTTTGCTGCCGTCAAGTGCACACATAGCAGAGTTCCCGCTCCGAGCGCACGTGAAGTGTGCAATCTGTGGTTGCACACTTCGTGCTGCATGCTCCGCGCCGCACTCCGAAGTTCTGAGGCCACATCCCAGTATCTGACATTAAAGTGCCAAGAGCAGCGGCCCTATACGTGGCATGCATATAAGACTGAGACAAGCAGGCTGTTAAATGATGAAACCTGGTGCAGTGGGCTGGAAAACTGTACCAAGCTTCAACCTAATTTGCCATTTTTAACTCTGTCAAACTCTCGTTGAACCTCGCGTAAAGGTTAGAAGTCGAACCTCATCTAACTCAAACCTTGACAGGTTCTCTACATCTTCAAATGTAGTATCAATTTTGGTTTCTGGTACCGTGCGAACAGCATACTGCAAACTATTGTCGACACTGTACCGATTTCCTATACAATACCAATGACGTGCCACCATGAACGAGTATGGTTGTGTACAGACAACGAAAGGAATGCAAGTGTTGAACAACCTGCACAGGCCCATCTGGGAACAGAACTCGCATTCGTTGAAATTGGCAAAATCCGCTTTTCTGGCTGGCAATAATTTGAACTCGTCCGACACTACTAAACTAACTCGCACTAACTCACAACTGTGTTGTTACTCTGCAGGGGCTACACTTTTTCGACGTTCCACATGCAAACTGTCGGCATTTGGCACGCACTCGTTCTGCTAGGTACGAGTGTAGTGGAAGTTACAAGAGCCATCTCCGGGCTTTGAACCTTCCTCCAGGACGTGCAGGCTTTGCAGCGGAAGAATGGTTCACAACAACCTGCTTGCATTCATAGGTTCGACTTCTTTAAGGTATGGGCTTATGCTGAATGCACATAACCATCAACTACATGCTTAAAAAGTAGTGTTGTGCAAACATTATTAATTTCAAATAGTAGTTTCGAATAACACTCTATTCGATATTCGCTTTGAGATGAACTGCAATGTTGGTATTTCTCTAGTGGCCTATTCATTTGGGGCACACCGGACCCGTGCAACGCAGCAAACTCTTTCCACTTTAGTACACAGAAAGCTAGTGGGGAGAAAAGCAAGCTTCCCTCTGGCCTTCCCTGTACCACGAACTGTGGATTAGCCATGTTGAGTGTTTCTTACTAAGCACGGGTGCACTGCAGAGAAGAGATACCCGTGGAAGCGAGCTCTGCAAGTGTTGCTTCTCTGCAGCGTACCAATGCTCGGGTAAGAAACGCACTCAACAGGGTAACCTGCCCCAAACAACATTTGGAAAAGTGCAGTTGCAAGCTTGGGAGAAAAACACACTTTCAAAGCGGGCTGGTGCACGTGTACATCTGGTGTATTTATAAAGAAACTTAAACTTTGTGAATGTTGATACATACATAGCAGTAAAATTTTCAAAATGAGACTGTGGCTGTTATGCAAGTGTATACATTAGGAGAGATCCCCTGACAACCTGCGTTCATCATTCGTGATATTTTTTTTTCCCCCCGAGATTGAAGAATGTTTGCATACAACAAGGTTTTGTAAATCCACTTAATTTCAATTGGGTATAGCTGGGGACCTGTATAGGTTTCATTTTATGACCAATCTGCCGTTTACTTGCCATCCCAAGACATTGGACTTTCTGAGGTCACAATCCATAAATATAGTTTGATTAAAATTTTAGCTTATAAATGGACCAGTGGAAGCTTGGAAACAAAATTCACGAGTTTAGCTAGGTTTTTGTGTAAGCGTAGTGCAACAGTAGTGAAAGGCTTGGAGAAACTTCAAAATTAGATTAGAAAATATTTGGCCAAAACCCCTATTCGCTTCAAATTCACTATTTGCACATGACGATCAAAAAGTAATTGACATGCCAAACTCGACTTCTAGTGTCAAGCAGCTCAACAGAAGAGAACTTGAAGTTTGTAAACACCCTTCCGAAATTTTATTGAGCAATCCGTCGCAAAAGATCCACACAAATCATCCGCACAAGCTCTTCAAGAGCTCTTTCTCTCTCCACCTCGGTTTAGAGCCACATGTTATCCAAGTACTGCTTCAGACATTTCCCACCATTTTGACTAGTAAAAAAAAAAAATAGCACAACAGACAGCAAAAAAAATCTACCATCCTCGTCTAAAGGTGAGGAAGTAAAAAAAAAGAAAAGAAAAGGGAGACCTGCATATATAAATAGAGAAAGACGGGTCTGTTCGGTAAAAACTTTGCTCGTAGTACGCAATGCAAAGATCGCCTTGCGGCTCGGTCGGTCGAAACGGCAGGCTCGTTCCGCGAAGAGGGGTTGGGGTTATGGTCTCTGCGTCTCGCCGTCAGAACAAACCACTTTTTTTCCAAATGCCCGGATCGCGTAGGCGGAAGAGCGTAGATCTGGGACGCCGAGAGAAAAAGAAAAAGAAGGCATCTCCGGAAGTTACGCCTTCTCAATGACGCTCGTCGTCAGGCTCTTGCCGTTCCAAATCGACTTGTACTGTTCCGGAACCGGAATCTCCCGCTGGAATCGCAAAAAAAGCAAGATGGCATAAATTTAAAAGGGACACTGGAGACGGCGCGAGTTTTCGGTTCCATTAAAGGTTGTGTCTTTTGCTTCCAAAAAAATTTCTGACAATTTAGTTTTTAATTTTTTGGAGTATGACAGTGGAGAATAGCAAACTTTTTGTTAAAAGGCAACTGCGGTCAAAAACAAAATCAAAATAACTGACTGGTTAGCTTTAGTGTCACGAAATATGATCACAGCTGAAATATTATGTCACAGTGAAGCCGCATACTCCACTAAAATTGATTTTAAAGAAGCGACCAGCTGCTCTTTAGCGGGCGGCAATTGGGTTAGCTTTTAGTCAAGGAACACTGGCGCAGCACCCTTGTGACATTACATCGCGGTGAAGTTGCAGTTGATTGGTTGTACCGCGTACCACAGCACTAGTGTGACGTCATGTCGCGGCCGTAGGGCTGATGATCAGTGTTGCCGTCCCTCTAGCAGATAGTTTTAGTTTTGCCGTAGACTCCCGAAACAAAACTTTGAGCCGTGACATTTATAAAACTAAACACAATATACCCCCCCCCCCCCCCAAAAAAAAAAAAAACCTTTCAATTCAGAGACACTGCCTTAGCTGAAAAAAGTCGTAACCCCAAATTAAAAAATATTGATCGGAGTTGCCCTTTAAAGCACATATGGCACCGTCAAAGGTCAGCATTTTGGAAACTCCCCCGGAGTTGTTCTATATAATCTCAACACTCAGAGTTGCTTGATATCATCTCATGGAGTTACTCGATGTCATCTCACAAATTTGTACGCAGTCACTCTATTTCGTCTCTCAAAGTCGACATACCATGGAGACAACGGCACAGCAGTGTGAGTGAGTTTGCAGGGGTGCCATCAAGTTGATCAGTTCATTGACGGCTTACTCGATTTAAACATGGTCGAAGTTAAGGGGACATGCACCAGGGGAAAAATGTTTTCTTTAATATTTACGATATTGAAATTAAATTTTCACAGTTTATGGTGCTTAACCTTTTCTTTATAAATCTGGTATTAGATTCGATATAGCTTATTTTTTAGGTTCTCGATGAAATGCACACGCAGAAAAAAACATGTTCTCAAGCACATGGCAACACACTTAAGAAAGCCTAGTAAAATTAACTGATTAGCTCTTGCTGAGAGAAATGAACAACAAAAAAATGTGTGCGGAACCTTTTTCATTGTAAAATAATCGAAAATAGCAAAACTGCCATTTCAGGGGGCTAACAAACGTTTCTTAAATGTTTCACCTAGATAGTTGCATTCTACATACTCTAACGTATATGCGTGCCAAATTTGATTGTGATGGAACAATATTGAGAGCAGAAATTCTTGCGCACAAACTGTGAAGACGCCCCAAAATTACATAAAAAGAAAAATGTATTTGAATGTTACCACAGATGTGCAGCAATACTCTTTTGCGGTGCGGAAAATAATTTATCGTCAATAAATTTCTGCAAGTAATTGAAGCTACAGAAGACTGCAAGGGAGAGATGGCTATGCCCACTTGTCAATGTAAACGTGATGGCTGGCGACATCACAATTCAAAGAACAGAACCACGCAGAGAAAAATGGCTTAAATTCATGCCGCTCTGGGTTGCCTGGAGATCTTCAAATGCGTATTTGACCAATTTCGCGGTCAGAACCGGCACTAATTATGTTTACACATCAAATATAAATATTTAAAATTAACAAAACACCATAAAACCCACAATCGCATTTCTTTGCAAAATATTGTTGTTTTTCTAGCCGCATCTCCCCACAAAAAGACGGGAACAGAGGAGGGAAAGACGTAGACGACAGACGAGTGCACGCTCAACCTTACTAGCATAGGGCTCTTCTTTTGTCTACATGCCAGTTGCGCACTTGCCTGTCATCTATGTCTTTCTCTCCTCTGTTCCCGACTTTTTTCACGCAACGTTAACAGTGTTTAGTCAGTACCAACTCGCACAACTGACCACCTTACTCCAGTTACTCAGTTGCAGACCCCTCCCACAAAGCCCAGCGCCCTTTTCACTTTAGCAGATCGAATGCTCAAGAGAAGGAAACCACCAATCGTGGCAAGCAGAGAGATTTGTTGGAGAGGCTCGACCTTCAACAGACTACAGAGCAGGAAATGATTTGTTCACATTGGAACTCCATCAGTGCCACCGGTACTCACGTAGTCTCCGTTGCTGCCCGCCGGGACGGAGACGTTCACCTCGGATGACTTGGAGGTGACCACCTCGACGTCGAGCGACTTCTCCGAAAGGTAGATGTGGGCCCCGTCTGTCTTGTCCACCGCAATGGTGGGCACCCTTCCCAGGGACTGGGCCTTCACGCTCTGGCAGTTGATAAACTCCACCACGGACACAATGTCCTCAAAAACAACGGAGGTCTTCTTGCACGAGTCTGCGACGAAACAAGCGCGCAGTTAAGGCGCGGAATGCGGCGAGTTCTTTGTTTCGCCTTACAACGAACCGCGGCGAATGGTATTGGCAATCCGAGCCAATCCAATCATGCGAGCACGCGTGGCGTTCTCTGCAGTTCGTTGTAAGGTGCAACGGAGTATAGCAGTTTACTCACGCCGGTTAGCATCCGATACCTAACCACCTTGTTGCCCAACTTGGTGTCGCGTGCAAATCTGAAGCAGCGCGTCTAAACCTGGCTTCGTGTTTCTTCCATGCTCGCGTCTTACTTTTTGCTTGCAGTGTTAATCTGCAAGGTGAAGCGTGCGCATTGTTGTTTTGTTTTACTGGTGCCTTTGGGCTACTTGTAAACGGCACAAAGATGACAGTAAGTAAAGGAAATGCAAACTCTGCTAAGCCTATGCATGGAGCAATGGAACATTGATGAGTTTACTCAACGTGCATAATCTGAAGGCAAAAAGAAAGGTGGCTATGTTGCACGTACGTCGATTACGGAACACTCTCGCACGACTTTATGATCCAAAAGACTTTCTGTGCTAGCCACATGATATTTATGGAACCCCTTTCTTATTCCCTAGTGAAGTGAATAAAAGGTTATTGTATATACTCTCCCATTTTCCTGGTTGCAGTCACAATTACTCTATTACAAGACAGATTACGTCTAAAACTGTCTAAAAGGAACTTGCCAATGACGATGGAGTTAACCTTGCCCTTGACCACGATGACAGAGTTGACGCACTTGTAGATGCAGACAGACTGGTTCATCTGAGTCTGGTCCAGCACAATTTGCTCGTTGTTCACCTGGTAGTCCTGGAAGTCGCGCACAGAACACACACTCCGTTTAATTGCGATCTTTAACAACAAAATGTTTGAGACGCAGCTGTCCAACCTCCAAAAGAAACAAAGCATACACAGATATTCTGGGGGTCGCTGCTCGGAAGTAGAGATGTTGCCATTGTGTAGTATCGAAACAGAGCCTAGATGTAATATAATGGCCCAAAGTTTTTTCCCCCTAGTTCATGCATTGCTATTGAGGAATGTTACTGACAACAAAGCCAAAGTTCAAGCACTTCATTAGCTACTTCGTAATGGCGCCCGAGATGCACTGGAAACATTGGTTACTACATACGTTTCATATTTGCTATAATTCTACATAGGGACGTTTGGCCAAGTAAGCAAGTTTGAATGGCATCAAAATCGTCAATTTGACATGACCACGGGCATCGGCAACCTATCAGACAATCATAATTTCAGTATAAATAATGTGAGCAATGTAGAGCCGCACAAACCCACAATAACAAATAGAGATATTTCCGGATGCCCACTTTAGTAGTGTTGTGCAAATATTTGAATTTAGAAATAGCACTTTCCAATAATATGCAATTCAATATTCGCTTCGAGATAAACTACAATATTTCTATTTTTTTAAGTCTTCATCGCAGCAGGTTAGCCCCATTGAGTGCGCTTCTTACAGAGCACCGTTGCAATGCAGAAAAGCAACAGCCACAGAACTTGCTTCCGCAAGTGTAGCTTTTCCACGGTGCACCAATCCTCGGTAAGAAGCTCGCTCAGCGGGCATAACCCGTCGCAATCAACCCTTGGAAAAGTACAAATATTGCAGCCGCATGCTTAAAGGAAACCTCATTTCCAAAGCGGGATGGTGCATGTGCGCGCCTGGTGTATCTAAAAAAAAATGGAAACTTTGTGAATGTTGATATCTACATTGCAGTAAAATTAAGTTAACTGGCATGCATGAGTATATGCAGATATGCCCTGACAACCTGTGTTAATCATACACTACTAAAGAAAAAATATTTGCATATAGTAGCAAGAACATTTATAAATCCCCTTGACTGTGTATATACCAGGGCATCTCAATGTAGGCATTGGACTTTCAGAGGCCACAGTCAATAAATGTAATTGGATTAAAATTAATTTGGCTTAGAAATGGATAAGTGGAAGCTTGGCAACAACTTTGATAAGTTCAACTGAGTTTTCGTTTAAGCAAAGGAACTATTCAATATTCGATTCGAAAATATTCGGCCAAAACCGCTATTTGCTTCAAATTCGCATCAAACTCAAAATCTACTATTCGCACATGATTACACTTCGGCTATGGCAGAATATATTTTACAGCGGAGCTGTGAAGGGCTAGTTTCCTTAGTATCGTATCCGTCCTGCAAACAAATGATGACAACGAACTCTGGACAGCTACCACCATCTGTGAGCGACGGCGGCAAACAGACAACCGGCTTGCCGGTTGGCTGATTGTCGCCGTTGCTCATAGATGGCGGAAACCTTTCCAGACTTTCTACTTGGGCTTGCCGACTTGCAGCCAGCCATTACTTCATTCCCACCATATAGTACAGCTTCGCTGGTCTCCCTTCTTCACCAGAGTGGAAAGGCTAAAAGTTTTTTGTTTTATATTGATTGATTGTTGCTGAAGCAGCTTCTTTTGTATTGAGATATTCATGCACCAAAAAGCTGCTTGTTGCATTTGTTGTGTGACATCCCCCCTGACTTCAGTGTTAATTTGGTATGTCAGTGAAAAAGTATACAAGTTGTTCACTCAGCGTGAAAGTCGCCGAGATTGCTGACCGGCGCAGCTCGACAGCGCCGAGCCCGACTTTGGCACTGGCCAATCGCGGCGATCGACCAAACTCGCTAATGCTTTAGGTGTGTTAGGTAGATGAACCTACCATGAGCAAATTGTATTCTACAGCCACAACCATCCCAATCCTAAGTGCCACTGTAGCCAGAACAGTATTACCTCACTGCACAAGTCGGAACACAGTGAAAGGCTTAAATCCTAAAAGTGCAAGGTCATGATCGACACATTCAATATGCTTAATTGACGCACAGAAAGACAAGGAAGGTCACATTGCTGCTCGATTGGCTTTGTTGGCGTGAAGCGTTGGCTAGGTGAAACAAATTATTGAACTGGAGTAAAACTAGGGCAGGAATATAGTGCGCATACCAAAGAGGAGGTGATGACCAAACAGACCTTTTGCTAAATTACCCAAGCACCAAGGAGAATGGTGGAAACGCAGGTATGCACACGCACCGCACACAACTTATGTGTACAAAAGAGTCAAACTAGAACACGCAAATAAGACATTGAACGCATGAGCAGAATGGAATTTGTTTTAATTTTTTGCTACAGAACAACTACTGCTGCAGACCCCAGCATGTGTGGTGCACATAACTACAGTCGCAGCAGTGGCCTGGTGCTTGGATAATTTAGCAAAAGATTTTACACGATGCAGCAATCATGACAACAGAAACAATCCTACTGCACTATAAAGTCAGCTACCCTTAAACTGAAGCAAACCATTTTCAGTTTCTGTCAGTATGCACGCCTCAAATTCTGCGTCAGCACTCCCTCTTCAAGAACACTGCATCACCACTGTAACGAAAAGGCATTACTGTAAAATCCTGACAGACGCCCTCCCCCTAAAGATAGCCCCCCCCCCCCCCCCTTTAACTCTTGGCTTGATTTTCTACATTTTTTTGAACATCGAAAGATAGCCCACTCCTAATAACAGTAGTGTTGGAATCAATGATGGCTCGGCGTAAATGCGGCTAGTTAGCTATGGCGGAATATAAGCGAACATTGCTGACTGCGAAGTACAGTCGTCTTTGCTTCGTTGCGCCTCGCCACCGTAACAAGCTTGGAAGGGACACAACCTAAAAATGGCAATTTTTCTCGATCGTACACCAAAAGTTATCCCACTCCATATTTTCACCCAATTTGCACTTGATGTTAGGCAAGCTATCTCTCAGGATTTTACGGTATATGCATATTTCTATCACATCTTTATTTCCTGATGCTTTCAGTATTCTTCAAATTCTCTCAGCAACACAACCAGTCGGAACGCCGGAGCAGCTGCCAGGGCCTAGGACACTCACCACACACCACTTCTTTCCCTCGAGCTCCAGCTTGGGGGGCTTCAAGACTTCCTGAGAGGCACCACCCGGATGGCCCCCAGCCCTGAAGGGCTGAGGAGCCCCTCCCGGCTTCACCGCCCCCTGGGAACGCAGTGTCGGGTTCTTGTGGGTCATCTGCTCGGCACTCACTTTCTTCAGGCCTGCACATGAGCAGAAAGAGACAAGCAGCAATGAGACGCGTGTCTGGAGGTCTAAAAACATGGCACCACTGACTGGTGATGAGTGAAGTTCGTAACAGGGAGGAGCAGCAGAGCTCTACGTGGCTTGCAGGACGTCCTTGCATTGTGCTTGTGGTCAATTCAAATTTTACTTGCCGAGAAAAACAAACTTGGTGGTGCGAAATCTGTGCTTCAGAAGTTACACGCTTAGCAGTAGCCACAACAATGACTGCACTGATTAGATATCAGTGCAAGCCATGAATTGGGCACACTATGTCAGCTCTAGAGCACGAGGGTTTGGCATTTCGTTCACTGCCATATTATCCTGAGAGATGCCCCACCCCCCAAAAGATAGCCCAACCCTACTTTTGGCACGATTTCCTTTTTTTAAGAAACAGCGAAAGATAGCTTACTTCCAGTAATTGCAGGGCCCTGGTCAACGGTGACCTCGGCAAGAACGGTGTTACTCGACCATGGCGGAAGATAAGCAAACATTGCTGACTGGGAAGGGCAGTCGTCTTTGGTTGATCGCCTCTTCCTGCTATCACAAGTTTTGAGGGTCACAAAACCTAAAACTAGCATGTCTTTCAACTTTATTTTTTATGGCACACCGAAAGTTAGCCTACCCCTTAGGTTCACCCGATTTGCAATTAATTTTAGGTGGGCTATCTTTCAGTATATTATAGTAAACAAAGCACCATTGAAGGCTGGCACTCAAGTACGCTCTTCATGCACCGGGCTTTTCTCGGAGCACGAGTGGCTTCTTTGCATTTTGTATCAGTTCCACAAACAAGATGGCTGCACTGACAGAAATGTTGCTGAGACAATGGGACAGACAAAAAGCTGCCCTTTTTCAGTCGAAGAATGCCTATTCCAGTGAGCGAAGATGATTCGATAGAAAGCCAAAACATTAATTAGCATTTCGGAAAATGACCGTTCGTGCGTACTGCAGTTAAACAAATTAGCGTGTTGTCTACTGATTGGTGGCGCGTCGATGGCATGTCGAGAGGTCTTGCTCAAACACTGCAGGACAGAACCACGAGACATCTCTAACAAGTTTGACCTTTTTTTCTGAATCAACAAGCGAGTAGAAGAATGTTTTCTTTCTTTGAAATGTGGCCAAGATGCATGGGCAATAAATCGATTGTTCACGGCAACTATACCTATGTGCTTTCGTGCTCAAAGAGAGTCTCCGAGCCTTTCGGGGCATTAAAACATTCGAAGACAGTTTATGGCATCACCCACTTTTTCACTTTACACTCTGCCGTCAATGCGGGTATGGGACGCATTAATTCGTTTATTTCTGGAATTTAATTTCCGCTTCTGCCACCCATACTCACCAGAGCCGTACATAGAGAGAGTTTGGTCAATGGGAAAAGCGGGCAGAGTCAGGGCACGCACCAGACGCATACAAGAGGGCTGGACCAGCCAAAAGCGAGAAACACTTATAATGAGTGTGCACTCTTCATGGTTGAAAATAAGATACATGTCATGTTTCGATCATGATCATGCATAAAGATGAAAGAAACAGACGTGGCGCTCAAACTCTATTTTAGTCGGATGGAGTCCGACTGCCCGGACAGCAGATGGATTATGCGCCGTGGTCGAAACACCACGTGCACCATATTTCCAGTCACCGAGAGTTACTCCGGCGCACCACTGTCAGGGTATTATTCGCGGCTTCTGGTCAATCACATTCTAATTTGTTAATGCACCCTGGAACATGCCCGGCCCACTTTCGGCCAATGGCACCCTCCTCATTCGCCTCCTATACTTCCCAATGAATGGCCAAACTCATTACGTATACAGCCCCGATACTCACGACATTCTGTGTTCGCATCGTAACCGCGCAGTCGGAGGTGGCCATGCGACTCGTCCATAGCTTCAACGTATGACGCTCTTGCACGACACGCTCCGTTTAGTTCCTGCGCTCGGGGAATTTAACTCCGAGCGTCAGAGCAGGCGTAAACAAGCACCGACTTCACGTGTCCATTGACATAATTGAATGCGTGCAGATCCAAGCCACGGCCTGGCTAAGGGCAAATCAACATTGTTTTCACCCAACCAGAACATGTTCTGCTCGAGTTCCAACAACAGACGAGCGAGACTGGGCGTCGCTTAGTCGACGACAGCAATCTGTTAGAAGCTCCGCCTCCACCGCATGCTCGTTGCCTTTCGCCAGACCTTGGCTGCACGTGCGACGGAGCGTCACCAGAGGCAGAAAGCTCGCACTCGCGGCACAGCGTCTATGCTGCAGGTTCACAACCTTCTCGGCGACTATAACAATTGCAGACCTTGTTTCGTGCATGAATTGATAGGGCAAAGTTCAGACAAGGATGGGGCACCTGCCAACGCACACTAAATGTGTACAATGAATTCTTGGTGGCTGGACAGCATTCTCAGCTAGCCAGTTCAAATGCCTTCGCGGTTTCGAAAAATCTGCGCTTGCCCCTGGAATCGACCTATAACGAAGGCCACCAAAATAGTACCTTTTTGACGGGTGCTCGAAAACCTTCAAAGGCGACTAAAAACGTTGTTTATGGCCATCCTATTCGAAACCACGTGTTTAAGGCATCCGCAATATTCACGCGAGAAAGAAATCCCCGAAATTTTTCTCCGGACCGCGCATTGTGTGACTCGACTGTCACACTTCTGCGACACAGCGCGGTGATGTCGGCTCTGCAGCGAAGGGCAGAGGGAATGCTCGGACAGTACAAACAACCCCCGTTTGGTGGCGTATCAGCTTGATTTTAAGAATATTTTACCATAAAAACCTTCAGTGCCACGTGCAGAAACCGGCGAAATCGTTTGCGACGGGGTCGAGAGTAAAAACTACAAAAATACGACCGCTAATGCCGATATTCCTCCCACCTGCACTTCGTCCACAAGAATCTGACATGTGCATTTAGACGGCGTAAGGCCGGTTTGCCTTCGAGGTGCAGCGACGTCGGTTTGTGCGGTAGATGAGAAATTTTGCCGGTGCAGTACTGCCGCTGGCTTGACGAGGGAGCTGCATTCATTGATGATGTCACACACATCCATCCGCAGGCTTCTCCCCCGTGCAATTGTCGCTTTAAGCACGACTTATCTGGTGGCCGTAGGGTGGGAGTGACAGCTCTAGCGGCCGGCGACGCTAACTCACCCTTGCTGATGCCCTCTCCCTTGTTGAGGTCCCTGAAGAGGGCGGCCCTGGGGTCTTCGGGAGGCACCTGGTTGGCAAAGTCCGCAGGGGGAGGAGGGGGAGGGGGAGGGGGGCCCCCACCCACCGACGGTGGCAGGGACCCTGCCCCCGCTACGGCAGTCACGTCACAGCCCTGGGGAAAGATGGCCGCCATTTCAAGGTCGGTACTGAACGTGTGCTCGACGGGTGACTGAATGACTCTGGGTCTCCCAATCTTTGTTGAAGAGCGAAATTGACAGAATTTCCACGCTTTCCTGCGGACGTTGTTTTCATCATGTGCACTGCAGGGCACAGGTAGCGCAAATGCGACTTCGGCACTCTTCGCATTTCACAGAGACGAGATGTTAATGAGTATTGTCGTTTGAGTTGACGACCTAAATGACCACTTTCCATTACGTTAGTAGTCCTGATGACAGCCTTTAAAATGCAGAAGAAATACAAACAAAAATGGCAGTCGCACGTCCGCGCCGTCTGCATCGTGCTCCGTACGTTGACGACTCGCAGATCAGACTATGCGGGCTCCCACGACAAAGGAAAGATAAATTGAAGCAGGAGATAAGGGGTTTAATGGGGCGGTGTGACGACATTCAATTGGAATGTTTTTCACTTTACACCAGCTTACTGGTACTAATGGGACGAAACGCCATTGGCCAAGAAACCCCTTTGTTGCGGAGTAATTTGGAGAATAAAAGCGAGCATTTTCTTTCAATATCTCCTTCGTGAAACTTCATGACATAGTTTGGAGGCCTCAGTGTACCTTGCTGACGATATACAGACTCCCAGTAATGATATTTGAATGCAACTCGTGGATTGAACCCGAGCATCGCGCGAGCACTCGATTTGAGCTCGCAACAAATCAATAGCTCGACGAGCATTCGGGTAGTCGCTCGCCCTTTCGCCTCAATGACAACAACAGCCGAATTCTAACAGCATGTGGAACTCGGCGCAGGTACTGTGCTTTGCCAAACCCTGCACGTGGCTATGGTGAACACTGGTGGCATACAATCGGCCCCAGATCACAAGGCCGCTAGTTGAAAGAAAAACAAACGCTGTTTGTTTTTCTTTCATCATTTTTTTTGCAACTACCATCGCACCAAGGAGAAAAGTCAATACACATTTCATAGGTTATATAAACGTCAGGGATTCCTTCTGAATGGTATTTACACAAAGTACAAAAATCACTGCACCGCCCCGCCCCCTTTAAAGGGCCACCCCGGTCAGAAATGAAACCAAAATAAATTACCAATACCGTTCCTTGCAGATGTTTTGCCGATCCAAATGGGTACAATGGTGCCATTCCTCGACTGGCATCTTAAGTTAAGGCTCAGTTTTCACTACTTCTGAGAAGTACTCCGTCCGATAAAAGAATTTTTGTAAGTTAATGGTTCCAAGGGGCGACGGAGCTGACCTTGGGGTTCCACACCAGGCCAGTGAGGTGGTGCTCCTTGACAAAGGCTTGCAGCTCCGACAACACGGTTAGCCACGAGCGGGCCCAGTCCACGTGGGTCTTGTCCCTGAGCAGGGATTGTCCCTGGTTAGTCACGGGACAGCACACACTTCTCTCCAACAAAATCTGCATCCACGACTTCTACAGCTTTGGTCTGCAAATGGTAGGGACAGTGTGAGATTTGACGGTATGCGTGGCGAGCGGTGTTTTTATGTCACTCCCCACGCTTATTTCATATTAAGACTATCTCCTTCGGAAATGTGCAACGTTTGTTGTCTATAAATATATATGCTTATTACTAAGCTGCTTTTGTTTTCAGTGTGGTGGGGATTACATCAGTAAAGGGTTGCTAATTAAACAGTACTTTACAGTAATTCTTTCTTCTGCATTGTTATCAGTGATTGGACAAATTGGTCAATCAATCTGCTATGTTGATAAATACATCTAATGGTAAAGAATAATTATTTTCTAGCTGGAGTGATTTAAATCAAATTATCCTGATTTAAATCAAACTATACTGATATGAATCAAACAAATTCGATTTTTTTTTCCTTTATTAATTATTTTTTCTTCACCCTGCCCACCATAATACATGGTCAAGTGGTCGAAGAGAATCTTCCCAAATCTTCCCATCTGCTACAACAGGCAACATCGTCTGCTCCACCTCTGGCACTCCCATGTCTCAGCTAGTATAAGACAATGCTCATACTGTCGGCCTTCCAATCGTTATAACGCTAAGCTGCACAATCACAGCAATCAAGCTTACATGAAATGAGGTTGAGCATGGTGCTGAATGAGTATCGTGCCAATAAGTACATCAGCTCTAGAGACACAACACAAGTGACTCAGTTTTCATCACCCTACAGTCATGGAGTAGCACAATATTCACAATCTCGTATGGCGCGTGCAATCCTGCAAGAAGTTTTAAGCTGGGGTTTTTTAAAAGGAAATATTAAAATCCTCCCACATTAGCACTGCAGACTTGAAAGGGCACTGACAGGTCTAAGTCATATTTCTTTTTGTTATCTGAAACGATTGAAAATGATGCCTGGACATTACCTTCAAAATTTGGAACTTGGAAACTCAGTATTTGAGAGGTAAGAAAAAATTTCTAGAAGCCGGATTTAGAGTTCCCGCGCGATCCGTGCCAGTGCAATGACGTCAAAGATTGAGTGGTCCTGCAAGGCTGCAATTCGAGTTTCTCTCCCACCTCAGAACCACTGCGACCCGAAGTGTCGTGTTCCCCCGCATCTCTCCTCCGTGAGTGCCACCTATCGCTGCAAGCAGACGACGCTTCACTTTCGAATTCAAAGTTATTTTAGGGCCCTTTTAGCCATCTCAAATGTGAGGTCGAAGAGAAGGCACAGTAGACTTTTGTGAGCGACGTGAGAGACCACGTCGCACCGGTTCTGCGTGAAAGGCTGCCTCGGCGGAGTCGCAACTGAAACTATGGTACACAGACACCAAGCCCTGTTATTTTGACCGTTTGACCATTTCCTTTTTGAAGTCTGAGAGGTCGTCGGGTGCCTGAAAAGAGAACTTAGTCCGATTTCCCGACTCACCGATCATCATCAGTGCTACATGTGCCGAGCGCCGCGATGCCGCCTTGTTTTCCGAGGAATGATAAAAAACCAGGAGGCAACATCACTCCGGACTGAGATTTTCAGTATTTCAAAAAGAAGGACCATAGTGTGTTCAGAATTGTGTTAAAAAACATGTTTTGCGAATGCCGTTATATTATAGAAATGTCACTTGGAAAGCTTCTGAATTTCATAATCGATTACATCACAAATAAAAAGAAGCGAGGAGGTGAGAAGGGGGAGAGAAAAATGCCAAAAATAAAAAGGCGCGCGCGCACATTATAAAATTTTTTTTGGCATTCCAGTATTTTTTTTTGTATCTATACTACAACTTGCATAGTTTTAGACAAAAACAAACAAAAAACCTTGGGGGTGCCAGTGCTCCTTTAAAGCCAATTTAAAATAAATGAAAATTATCAAAGAATCATTTGTTAAAAGCCAATCAAGAAATAAACAAATTGCTAGCAAAACTTTAACTAGAAAAAAACAATAAAAGCCGCTGCCATCAGCAGCTTTTATTTTTATAACAACGAGAATTTGCAGTTCAAGGATTCTAGTTTATTGGCTAGATCCAGTTCTTTACACTGCAATTACCCGATATAAAAGGCTAAGCAACCACAATTCAATGCATGTGCCAAATGTCAAGGTTACATACTTTTCCTTGTAGTCCATGAGAATCCTGTTGGTATAAAACTGGCAGGCGTCGCTCATCTCCTTCACAAAGGGCGCAGGGGCTGGAGACTATGGCCGACAGCATAAAAACAAAAGCAGAGAAAACATACTGTAGTGGAAAAGGTAACACCCACAAATGATTGGACGAAGCAGAGAGAAATAAATATCTCGATTAAAGTCGAGATGCTAAATTCAAGCTACTCACGATAGTCACCCATCCCAGGGCTGGGATAGACTCGCTGATGGCAGACAGATGATTGAAGAACTTGCTTGTGCGGTTCTTCTCGCGGTAAGTCTGTTGCCGCAAAAGAAAGTTGGCGCAAGTTTGCTTGAGCTACGACAAAAAAAAAATATGAAAACATCCGGAACGATGGATACCCATCCCCCCGAAAGCTTATGCAATTTTTTCTTTGCACCTATTTATAACGAACCCGGATACCCAAATAGTTTGAACGGAAATGCATGTAAAATGTACTTCTATAACGAACAACCTATTGGCTACGTCAAACTCTGAAACAAAAAACAGCCCTCGCAAAAGCGCAAACACCTGTCCTATTTTAAAAGAAATAAAAAGGCTCTAGCACGGTCCACTGCGCCAATGAAGGATGGTTTTGGAGCCAATGGAATGACTTTCGCCGGTGCCCGAGGCCCCGACTTGAGATTACAATGCATGGATGGCCGACTCGACCTCTTTACGAACAGCATTTTCCACCAGCTTCAGCATGAATCTCGTTCTTGTTGGAGTTTACTACGCATGCAAGTGCACAGATGCGCAACGAGAGCTTTGCTGTTTCCAGTCGCATGATGCACATGGCGTGCTTCTCTACGGTTCTCTATTGCATTATTAGTTATGTTTTCTTGTATTAAACTTTTTTTTTTTTTTCGCAATTCATCGAAGTACTTACACACAAGTGCTTACTCAAAGCATTGTATTTCGAACTCCCGGAATTCAAATTTGCTAAGCGGGAGTTCCGACAAGCTATTTGATATATTTAATTAATATGAGTGTCCGAAAGAGTTTGTTATAAACGCGTTTGACTGTGAATGAGAATAGGCGAAAAAAATCCCTAGCTGGAACCATACCTGAATGGCTTGAATCTCGTCGGACGTTGGCTTCAGCAACGAAATCAAGCCATGCTGAGGAAAGATGAGACATGCTGTTACTCACATCTGCACTTTACCTAGGTCTTTCCCAGTCGACCTACCTTGTCAGGCTGGCGTGCCTTCGCCACGACTCCCAAAAACTGCCTCTGAAGCTGCAGTGCCTTCTCTACCATAGTCGCCTGCAAGGTTTGAACACCAGTTTTGTAGATCACCGAAAAGCATCCAACAATGCACAGCCAGGCGGAAAAGTGAGCTAGCACATTCTGAAGTATCAGCTGTCCTAATAAAACTTTGACGGAGATGCTTTGGCTATACACTTGGCTGGTGCATAACATACAGCGAACTCGATTAGAGTAGTTCGCATTTTTCATTGCCACACTGAGAGCAGATACACAATTATGCATGCATGGTACAATCAACTGCACAATGCAATAGATGTGCCCTCGATAAAAACTAATGTAGACCAGAAAAGCTTTTCTTAGACAAATGAGAACAGAGTTAATTTGCACTTCAACAACTTCAGTTTTTGGTTTTTAACAGAAAAGAAAAGTAACAAATTGTGGCTGAAGTGCCATGTTTCATTCTTTACTCAGATTAAGCAGTGCAAGGAATGTGCCCCCTTTTCCGTTCACGCCTGTTGCTAAGTGGAACAAATTTCACAACAGCAAGATAACTAAATTCCCCCTTAAAGCATATGAAAGCGAAGAATCACTGAAATGAGGATTAGCATGTGCAGGCGAGCCGATGCACGGCCATACTGAGAAAACCCCGAGACAAGAGGAAACGAGAAATGTGGCAAACACAACAACAATATCTCAACGCCGACACCAACATCAAGTCTGCCTAAAGTAACTTTTGAGATGTTAATGAGTTTGTCCCATTTCGTTTTCTTTTTTCTCTTCTCTTAAAGGGGTTCTGCAATGACTTTTGCTGCTTTTTAATTTGCACTGAACCTAAGTGCACTGAACGTAGTAACTTAGTGAACTTCTTTTCTCAAAATTCGCTTTATTTTAAAAGTTAGAGGCATATTGAAATTACAAAAACAAGCAAAAAATAACCTCCTTCATGGCGTCCTTGGTCCTCTGTCCCCCCTTTACCCGCGCCCGCAGACTGAGGAATGTGGGGAGGGAGGGGAAGACGGGAAAAGGAAGTGAGGCCGAGGAGAGAGAGAGCTGCCCAGGAACCAGGCAGCTTTTTCTCCTCGGCTGACCAGGACCAACAACGTCACGATTTTGTCACATGCCATGCGCGTTCGACATTATGGGGTGCCCCTGTAGGAGGAGAAGGTTTCTGCGTCGTCCGGTTGAATTATGACGCACTGATATTTAGTTACTCTCTCCGTGCCCGTTGGGTTGCCCGAACCACAAGAGACATGGAAACTGCAAGAAAGGTAGACGCTTAAATAGGACTGCAGAGCCCCTTTAAGTTTTCTCGGTGCACAAAGAATGTGTGCGACAGCACCCCTGAACAGAAACAGCTTAGCCCTCGAGGTAGGAAGATTCTGGAAGCGACACGACGCCACCAGAGGCAAAGCCAGAACTGGGCCCCGAGAGTGACCAAAACAGCTGCTCCCCTTTTCGTCCAATAGCGTCTCTTGGTTTTGGCCATCGCTGGGGGCGTGTCCCTCCACACTTCTGGCTTCACCTCTGGTGGCATCATGTCGTTTCCAGAAGCTTCCTACCTCTACAAGCTCAGCTCATGGACACAAACAGCTTAGACATAAGACAGCTCCAATAACCGCCGATCCAAAATGAGTCTCAAAAGCGAGTGGAGGGCGCAGTAGACTCACATGGGTGTGCACCTCTGCCCCGATGGTCCTGCTGAGGGCCAGGTATGCCTGAAAGGGCCCCTTGAGCAGGGCCTCAAAGCCCTGCACCGAGGCAGACACCAGCTCGACCGAGGTGCCACGCATGAGCATGCGCGCTGCGGGGGAACCGCCACCTCCCCTGCCCAGCTGGCCGCCCTCGCAGTGCTCCAGCCGGAAGGCCACCTGCTCCAGCCGCTCCACCAAGGCAGCCAGGTCCGGAACCGACATGGTCGTCACACTGCCTGCACCGGACCACACTCATACAGTACTCTGTCGTTGCGAATGATCGAATTACCTGTAACAAATTACTTTTTAGAGCCCGTTTGTGCCACGCTTATATAGTACTACTCTGTTGTTGCGAGTGATCAAATAACCTGAAACCAATCACTTTTTAAAGTAATTTTGTGCCACACTTGTACAGTAATCTGTCGTTGCGAGTGATTCAATTACCTGTAGCAGATTACTTTTTTTGAGCCCATTTTGTGTCACAGTTATACGGTACTCTGTCGTTGCGAGTGATTAAATTATGTGTAACCAATTACTTTTTGAAGTAATTTTGTGCAACACTCTTACAGTACTCTGTCGTTGCGAGTGATTGAATTACCTGTAACCTAAAACTTTTTGGGAGTCATTTTGAGCCACACTTTATGGTACTCTGTTGTTGCGAGTGATCAAGTAACCTCAAACCAATTACTTTTTAAAGTAATTTTGTGCCACACTTGTACAGTAATCTGTCGTTGCGAGTGATTCAATTACCTGTAGCTGATTACTTTTTTTGAGTCATTTTGTGTCATGCTTATACGGTACTCTGTCGTTGCGAGTGATCAAATTATGTGTAACCAATTACTTTTTGGAGTAATTTTGTGCCACACTCGTACAGTACTCTGTCATTGCGAATGATTAAATTACCTGTAACCTAAATCTTTTTGGAGTCATTTTGTGCCACACTTTACGGTACTCTGTTGTTGCGAATAATCAAATTACCTGAAACCAATCACTTTTTAAAGTAATTTTGTGCCACACTCGTACAGTACTCTGTCGTTGCGAGTGATTCAATTACCTGTAGCTGATTACTTTTTTGAGTCATTTTGTGTAATGCTTATACAGTACTCTGTCATTGTGAGTGATCAAATTATGCGTAACCAATTACTTTTTGGAGTAATTATGTGCCACACTCATGAGGTACTCCGCTTTTGCGAGTGATCGAATTACCTGTAACCGATTACTTTTGGGGTAATTTTGTGCCACGCTCGTACAGTACTCTGTCGTTGCGAGTGATTGAATTACCTGTAACCTAAACCTTTTTGGAGTCATTTTGTGCCACACTTATACGGTACTCTGTTGTTGTGAGTGAAAAAATTACCTGAAACCAATTGCTTTTTGGAGTAATTTTGTGCCATGCTTGTATAATACTGTCGTTGCAAGTGATCAAATTACCTGAAACCGATTACTTTTTGGAGTAATTTTGTACCATGTTCGTACAGTACTCTGTCGTTGCGAGTGATTGAATTACCTGTAACCTAAAACTTTTTGGAGTCATTTTGTGCCATGCTTATTCGGTACTTTGTTGTTGTGAGTGATCAAATTACCTGAAACCAATTACTTTTTGGAGTAATTTTGTGCCATGCTTATATGGTACTCTGTCGTTGCAAGTGATCAAATTACCTGAAACCGATTACTTTTTGGAGTAATTTTGTGCCACGCTCGTACAGTACTCTGTCATTGCTAGTAATCAAATTACTTGTAACCGATTACTTTCTAGATTAATTTTAGGTACTCTGTCGTTACAAGTGATCAAATTACCTGTAGTTGATTACTTTTTATGGAGTAATTTTGTATCACACTTGTATGGTACTCTTTTTTTTTACGTTGTGGACGATTTCGGGAGAGAAGTATAAAAGATCTGCATGAAATAAATTTTGTTAGCCAAGTTTCAGACGCTTGTCTGTCACCATTCTTCCAAATCTTCTAATATATCTTCAAGTTTCCTTCCCAGTCTCGGGGTTTAACTATCATGATTAATCGATTAGTTTTTGAAGTAGTTTTGTCATTGCTTGGTCACCTTTATTGGGTAGTAGGCACGAGAGTAATTCAAAATAACTCCTAACCATTACTATTTTTACCTCACCTTCCTAATGGCACCCTTTTGTTTCCATGACCTTACCTATCCTAAGGAATCCACCCAAACAATTGGTCTCCCATAGGAGGACAGTCTAATAAAAATGGTGGATTTAGCGGATGAGCGTAGTTTGTAATCCGACGATTCTAATCCAGTAATGGACAGTGCAAAAGGGTTTGTTTCTTGGAATTTGCAGGAAGATACGCCGTTTTGAAAACCTGAGGTAATTGGACAATGTAACGGTTACTTTTTGAAGTAACTGTGAATAACTTTTCCTCTAAAGTAATTGAATAACCTTATTTAATGCTTTTTGACCAAGAGTAATAGCAATTGTAATCGATTAGGTACTTTCTTTTGTAATGAGCAGAAGACTGCACAGGATGCATGACATAGCAAGCCGACCAGTCAAACGTTTTTGTTTGTTTGGCCTCCCACCTGACCGGAGTCTGTGATCACTGTGATGTGTAGCTGAGCAGCAGGGCTGGAAAGTATCACAATACAAATGTATCACAATAGTATCTTAGAGATACTTTTGAGTATCTGTATTTCTCTATTGAGATACATTCGAGAAATGTATTTGTGTCTAAGTAGTGAAATACACTTAAGATGTCCTGCTTGTATTGTGATACTTTGCCAGACTTGGGTATCTCGTTACATTTTTTGTCCTGTTTAAGATAATTTAAAAGATTAAAACATCTGTTTTGGTGCACGTTACTTCGTAATTTATAATTTGAACTCGCCCTGTAACATGATCCATCTCAGTCAGCAACATTTTAAAAAAAACTGTGGTTTAAAAAAGGTTACGGGTAAGAATAACAGAATCAGCTCCACTTACGAAGCCCTCCACCCTCTCAAATTTAGCAGAGAGAATGCTCTAAAGGAGTTGAGGGAAGTAAAAGCACGGTCCTGTTGTCCAATCTCCCTACACTATGGGTGACTCAGAAGCTTATAATATGAGAGTTTGAGATGCTGCCTCACGGCAAAGCAGGGTTCATTCTGGGCAGACGCCTTTTGTCAAGCATGGTACATAGATTTTACCGTTCTGTAACTATGTGGTTCAACGGGGGTGACATGTTTTCTTTAGTGGCATTAATGATAAATAAAGAGTTTGAGGTAAGGGGAACAGAATAAAATTACAGAAAAGGAGCACGAGCGTAAATTACCATTCATATTTGCCACGAACTATACCCTCCCTACCTAGCACCGTTCGGGAACAAATGTATTTCTATATGTATCCGTATCTGTATCCCGGAATACTTTTTCGTCGGTTTTGCAGAAGTATCTCAGGAATATCCTGTTGCATAAAAGTCAAATGCATCTCAGTATTTGTATTCCCAAATACTTTTTGGAGTATCTTTGCCTAGCCCTGCTGAGCAGTATGTCCCCAGATAGCGCAGATACCCCAATTTCATGAACGGGACACAATTCCAGTTTGTGGAGTGTTAGGGCTTCGCTAAACTATAGTCGGTGACAGGTTAAAGCGGCGGAGCAACTATTTCTTGTACTTTACGCAAATGCTTCCATAAATCTTTGACGTTTATAACTTATGAAGCACGCCCCCCCGGAATCATAGTCCGAAATAAAATTCAAGAAAAACTAACATCATTCACCCCCTTGGATCGCAGTCGGATGAAGCGGGCACGTGGTCTGGTGACACATGTAATTTCAAGCAATTGTTAGAGTTTGGCTATTGTCACCATTGAAGCGACTGGACACGAGCTACTACCCGAATGCTTGTCTAGCTATTGGTTATCACGAGCCCAATTCCAGTGCTCACGCAATGCACTGGTTCAGTCTATGAGCCACATTGAAAGATCATTACTCAGGGTATTATGCCAATACTGCGACATCTGAGCAACGACATCGAGTCTTGAGAAGAAGAGATTGAAAGAAAACACTTGTTTTTATCCTTTGAAATTACACCTCAACAAAAAGTATCTCGTCAATGGCATTGCATAAAAGTATATTCGGGTCCTGGTGGTGCCAATAAGCTCTTGTAAAGTAAAAAACAATCCAACCGAATATTGTTGCACAGTCCCTTTAAGAGCCCAGTAGATGTTCTGCCACCAGCGCGTGCCTTGTGCCTTCAATGCGGAGCACAGGTTTGTTTGCTTCTTTTGCTTGCAGGGGTTGTGGTGATGTCAGAATGTTGAGCTCTGATTGAAGGATAGTGGGTAGACCTCAAGGCAGCTTGCTTCGAGGTGTGCCCACTATCCTTCAATTCGAGCCAATCAGAGCTTGGCAATCTGACATCACCACAACCCCTGCAAAGGAAGCAGATGAGCTTGTGCTCTGCATAACATGCACGAGTTGCACACACAGCCAGAGCATGGCAAAAGGCGGCGAGCTTGTGCTAGAGGTGGAGCATCTACTGAGAGCCTGTCACCGACCATAAAGCCACTAGATAAGCTATGCTTAGGGTATGGACACTCCATTCCTCGATTCCCTTGTGGGTGCTGCCATTTTGGTGCTTAGTGCATAACAGGTGCAATGATAGCTACAATTAAAAAATTAAACTTTCTGAGCTCAGATACAGAGGAAGTCCAGGCCATATCGTTTTGCTCTGTCACAAACCACTCTAGAAAACGGTTTCCTGCAATTTTAGATATATAAAACTTCAGAGGCAAAAGAGTTGTTACTCTGAAGTGGTGGATATATTTATATATGCTGAACTATATATGGGTGCTGCCAGATTTGCAATAAAGAGGTGGAGATACAACCGAAATTAGCTTCAAGTTTGTCCTTTCTACATGATCCAATGCAAAGCTATGGAGGTGAACTGATTAGCAGAACTAAATTGAGCAAGGACCAAATATTTTCTTTTAGAAACCAAAATTTGTTTGTTTTTCTTCATAAAAAAAAAGAGGGATAAAGTTGCCAAAACTGGCGCAACACGTCGAAACAAAACAGAAATCGCGCACCCAGTCATAAACACGAGCCCCCGGACCTTAAAAGGCTGTACGCGTTATCGGCACCCCACGAACCAAATAAAAAGCTTTAAAACAATATATAGCTCAATCTCCGAATTGACCAAAGTCCACGAAAAATGTCGCGATCCCTAGCCGCCCCGAAGCGCTAGCGAGTCCGAAAGAACACCTTCCCGACACCTGCTGCTAGTTACGACAGTTAACCGAACGCGAGTCCCTTTCCAAGTCGCGCCGCACTGGTCGTCTGCAACAGATGCCAAGCAGCTGACTAGCGCACTGCGCGCCGGCAGAAAACAACAAAAAGCGACAACAAGAGCACTCGGAAAGCGACAACGAAGACCAAAAAAAGATCCTGGCAAAACACGTCTATTTCTCCCCCCATCAACCCCCGCAGCGCGGGCGCCGCGGCTAAAATAAACGCGTCTTTCCAGCAAGACTCTTAAGAGATTGTTATTCGAAAATCACACCTAAAGCACGAACCGTTAAAAATCGAGCTTTGGAGTCGTCATAAAAACGAACGCGCGTTTACAACCAAACTTGTAACCGAGCACCACAGCGTCGAGGTCGATCAAAGCAGACGACATCGAGAGGCGCCTTCGGAGGGCGCGGCGGCGGTACCACGAAATTTGCGGTCGGCGATCGAGAATTAAAAGAACGAGAGTCCGTTCGAGCTTACCGAGATGATCCCGAGCAACTTTTAGCCCAGACAATCGCGTGAGGACAGCGTTAAGCCGTTCCTCAGACATCTACAGCTGCTGCAGCGGCGTTCCTGCGTTCGATGTTGTGGAACGTGACGATCCAGTCGTGCGCGGCGCTAGAACCAATCGTCTTTGCACCGACCGCTTTGCTCCGTACCGTCGAGTTTCGTCAACGAGTAGACCAAGAGGGGCCTCTTCTTTCTTTCTTTTTTTCTAACCGAGTTTTGAGTCAGGACGAAGGGAATCGCAGCACCAACGCCCACTTCTTCGCGACGAACGACCACGGACGATTCCCAAAATACAACTGCTCGCAGAGCTAGCGCCACCGCTCGCCAGGGAGACGAAACCGGTATTAAAAGGATGAGGAGGCGTGGCGGTGCCAGACACTCTTTTCTTGATTGTTTTTCGTTTCTTTCTGTTTTATACGGTCCCATTCGCGAGTGCCTTGAGCGTTGATAATTACGAGAGGAACAAGGGCGCCACAACGTACATTATTTTTGTTTTATTTGTCATTTTACGTGATGCATTTGTCGAGGTCGGAGCTTTGATGTCACCGCTGAAAACAGCGCGGTACCGTGCAGGTGTGTGGCTGCGCCTAGGCGCTCGTGGATTTCACGCGGTTTCCTTCGAACCGTGAAACGAAGCAACACAATTTAAAAGAACGTGCAGAAACTGGCAACTAAAACGTAAAAAAAAAAAAAAAAAAAAAAAAAAAAAAAAAAAAACTTGAATGCATTGTCCAGGCCTGTCCCCCGAAGTTTTTCCGCTCTTATTAGTAGCCATTTACTTATGATACGATCTGTTATTGACTGATTTGTGTCTTTTTTTTTTCTTTCCTCTAAATGTTCAACTAAAAGATTATTTGATGAAGTGAACAAGTTATTCCCATATTCTGGTACCAGCTACTGCCAACTCAAGAAATTGGTAGGATGCATCAGCTACGCTCATGAAATCTGAACACAATTCTAGAAATAAAAATAACTTTGACAATTAAAGCTAGATTACGCAATAAATGCTTATGTGAAAAAAGCACAATAATACAAATAATAAGATACAAGGGAAAGGGACATCATGTAAGCGCTTCAGAATAGTAATAAAAAAAAACTATTCCTCCACATTATAATAGGTAACGTTAGGCTGCTATTAGTAAATCACGTAGTATGCGTACGTGTTCCTTACCAAAACAAATCTTAGGTATTTCAATAAATAACTAAGCAAGTGTTGACTGGAGCGATCAAACACTGAAATATGTCATTTAGACATTCGAGAGTGTCATTCATCGGCGTACACCTGTAGTTGGTACAATGTACGAACCCCAAACTTCCTGAAAGCCTGCAGCTGCGCGCCATGTCGTATTGAGGGACAGCGCCCATCGCCTTGAGCGACTCGATCGTGCGCTTTTCCAGCCGGTATTTCGAGTTCCTAGCAGCGGATTACAAATGAGATCCTTGCCGCTGTCAAAGTATCGTTCCGCTTTTTTTTTTTTTTTTTTTTTATTAGGTACGCAGGTATATAGGTACGACAGAAACTGTCGCGGTATGAAGCTCCCCGAGGTATTTTTACTTAAAAACAGATAAGACTTTTCTGTCTGCCAGCCTTTTTTTTCTTTTATGTGCTATTGTCTTTTTCTTTCCACGCGTAATAAGAAAAAACGCGCACAAAAAAAAAAAAAAGACAAGTTTCTGCTGTTTTTATATTATATATATATACAGGGTGTCACAAAAGAAAATGTACACGGTCTTTTTTACCGCAAAAATAAACTAGGCATCGCCGAACGCTCATTCTCTGTCCAAAGGTAGAGATAGAGGCCACAACCAGATGCCAAAGTTTGAGCCCGATTCGATAACTTAATCAAAAGTTATAAATGATTTTCTTAAAATTTCAATGGGAAAATGGCGGCCGACGGAGTTTTGAAACACATGGGGCTCTATGGCACCAGAAACCGAAAACGGGCAAAAATGAGCTCCATTTTCCCATTGAAATTTTCAGAAAATCACTTATAATCTTTGATTAAGTTATCGGATCGGGCTGAAACTTTGGCATCTGGTTGTGACCTCTAGCTCTATCTTTGGGCGGAGAATGAGCGTTCGGCGATGCCTAGTTTATTTTTGCGGTGAAAAAGACCGTGTAAATTTTCTTTTGTGACACCCTGCATATATATATATATTATTGCGCACAACAAAACAACAAGGTGGTTTAGTGTTCAATTTAGAAAGGTACGACGAGTTCAAGCGCAGAAAGGTGCGTGATGCACAGGAGTTCGATGCAATAAGCCCCACAAAAAACGACAAAAGGAAATTTTGAAATTACTTTATCCAACATATTACGGCATCACGCTCGAGCTGCCGCAATCCTTTCAAAGTCGAACAACCTAAAACTAGTTCCAGCATATACAAAACCTTGATTAAACAGCAAAATACACACACACAAAAGAAAAAAAAAAAAAAGGTCTGGCGTGTTTAAAAATTACTTGGAGTCCATTTATCAAGGGTGAAGTTTTTCTCTCTCTCTCTGTCTGTGTCTGTCTGTGTTTGTTTGTGTGTGTGTGTACACACACACACACACACACACACACACACACACACACACACACACACACACACACACACACACACACACACACACACACACACACACACACACACACACACACACACACACACACACACACACACACACACACACACACACACACACACACACACACACACACACACACACACACACACACACACACACACACACACACACACACACACACACACACACACACACACACACACACACACACACACACACACACACACACACACACACACACACACACACACACACACACACACACACACACACACACACACACACACACATACATACATACATATATATATATATATACATTCGCGTAATGCCCAGGTACTGCTACAGACGCGAGGGTCGTCGTAAGAGCACGCAAGATAAAAGTTCTTCCAACTCGTTGACGTCAGCAGCTTCCGCCGTTGCAAATCTGGCAAATCTGAGTCAGCGCGACGAACAGGAAACGCCTCCTACGGCCACATCCTTCCCAAGAGCGTGCGTCGCTCAGCTCTAATTCCTCCGTCCTTATCTCGCCTCTTTTTTTTTTTATTATTATTATTCTTATTCTCAATTTGAACAAGCTTTCCTCCTGCACAAATTGCCTAAGCCGCGTATGTTTATACACAACAGCCCATTCCACCTGCCGCAACATCAACATTTCAACTCCTAGAGCGAAACAAGTTTCATTGAAGCACAGTGAGATTATTGATTGTGTAAGATTTCAAATAATGACATCAATTTGTCATTCTAACTAAACCTCTCCACCAAACTTGAGCTCCTCTCAAGTTATCAAATTTACGGGCGAAGTACTCCGCCGATTGCCCCACCTCTGCCGTGATAACGCGGCGTCGAAGATAAGCTGTAGCGCACACCTAGCGTACTTACCTACGTCGCCCAAGAAACTGCACGGAGATCCTTGCCTTGCAATCAATACGTCACCTGTTTTTTTTTTCTACACCGTCATGCCCTCAAACAGGTCCGTATAGGCTGTCCAGCCTGCATGCTATTCAAAACGTTAACTCGAGTTCAACCAAGCGAACATCACCTCCGTTCCGTTTCATCGGGCAACGCTTACGACGCAGGTTTGAATAATGCAGCACCGAACTCCTACAAAGCGACGACGACCCGATGTAGAAATATTACAAAAGAAAAAACAGCAACACGAAGTTTCCAATACAGAGACCAATATACTGCTCAAATTTCGATTCTGTGGTCGCGCATGTGGTCAAGCGCGCGGCTTTTCACCGATACGTCATGGGCGTTGATACATGTCTTGCTCTTCGAAGCCGCTGATCCTGTATGTAACCACTGGAATACGCGAGTGTGTGTTGCTGCATTAGGTTGCGAAAAAAAAAAAAAGATAGTTATTGAAACAATGTCGGCAAAGGGAAAATAAACGTGAAAGAATAGAGTAGTAACATTTAGTAATGCGATTGATCGCATTACGGCTATTACTGATATACCCTGAATCCAATTAGGTACAGAGATCGCACACTTTTGATCGACAGTGTGCCTCTCGATGTCCTCAAACAGGTAGTTTCAAAGCCGACAAATCACTATTTATGGGAATAACAGTCGATGAATGAGAGAAGCCGAAACATAGAATCCGGGGCCTGCCAGTGATCCCGTGTGAAGCCGGCGAGCAAATTGGTCCCGATTTAGCTCGGACAAGCGGCGTAACTGAGAGCGGGTGACATACTGGGCGGTTATGTAACTCGTCCAAGGAGGAAAAAAGGTTAAAAGACCTTGTTTTGAATATTTAAAGGGCTCAAAATACTCACGGGGAATCCAAGCGAGTGAGTCACAAAAAAACTCCTCCTTTATTGGTGGCGCACCCTGGTGTGAGAAAGTGACACTTGTAGATACCACAAATATCTGAAACAAAGAGAGTACGGACAACCCGAGCCAGGGTAGCGTAATTAAAGATGGTGGACTCAAAAACCCCGTCATTGGTCCAGCTCTTTCAGCCGGAGCTGGCCTCGTTCATGTTTATATTTTGCACAAAATATCGATCTACAACCCCATCACAGTCCCTCCCTAATAAAAATAATGAAAGTGACGTACTAGTATGTCTGCGAAAAGCTTGATGAGAGCGTGCTTTATTTTGTGCACAAATAGAGAGTTTTAGAATAGCGCACGCTAAAGCTCTGCGTACGAAAAGTCGTCGCCACTGCGATTGCGCCGAACGCTAACCACGTTTTGCACTTCGCGTGCGCTTTTTTAGCGTAGTTTTTCGGAAATTGCGTGCGTACGCCAACGAGCTTGGCGTACGCGGCGTACGCAGAGCGTCTTTGCGCACCTCCAAGGTGGATTCATAATCAGAAGTTGGCTAAAGCCAAGACGGGCAGAGTTAAAAAAATGGCGGCTCCCAGGACCATGGCTCCGGTCGGAAGCTTTGGCGGCGTCGTGAGCGCGACGTCGGCGGCATCCTCGCGACTGCGATTTTCAATACGTGACGACACTGCACTCGGTTTGGAAAACCCAGTAAAGTGGGCAACGATCACCGGCAACTTGATGCTTGCGACGCGCGAGCATTTCTCGGCGAAGGTCAGTATACGAGACACCTCTTGCCGAGGCAACGCCTCTCCGAGGCAACGCAGGTGGACACAACCGGTCAACCAAAATTTTTTTTTTTTCCATGTTGCAGCATTTTGTATGTGAATCAAAAAGTTATCTTGGTGACGTTGCAAGCGCGAGACGCTTGGGTTTTTGCGTCTCGGCGGAGAAACGCTATTCTTAAACTCTTGCGTAGCGTGCGTTAACGCAAGCACAAAAATT